TTCCCTGCCACCCCCCAGGACAGCACTAATTTTCAGTCATCCAAGTGTGTCTATTGCTTTGCAGTTGTTTCCACCAGAATAACTTCTCCAATGTTGGAATACATACAAGTTAAGCTTAAAGAAGGGTGAGTTTTTTAAAGCTATGTTCCAAATACAAGTACAATAGATGAGAAATGTTCTTTTTATTTTACAAACATACAAAAAGATACACCTCAGATTTAAATATATTTCTCATTATCACAGGTTTAGACAATAAAACACCATCAATAAATCTTGAGTTGACAGAATATGGATCAGTTGTCAAATAAACACATGGTCGACCTGAAAGTACAGAAAGTTTTGTAAGGTGTCTTCACTGAAAATTATGGAAGCCGGAAACAAAGCAGAATCCATATCTAACACGCTTCCCCACACCATCAGAAACAACTTAGAAATAAGTATTTGCATTTACTAGATGAGAGTTCTCCACATTCTTTGAATTTAACATGTTTTTTTAATGTTTGAAATTATTTATGAAGCTGTAATAGGAACATGCAATTTGCTTAAGAACTTAAAATACTCTGTTGACCAAGATTCCCAAGACCTTGGATAACAGCCGACTCATGTGGTAACTGTGACAGTTTAGTCAACATGCATCATCTAAGACCATCAAAAGAAGAACTTCCTATTAAGTATGTGTGCTTGGATTACATTGTCTCAATGAATCTATACATCAAGAGACAAGAGCTAGGAAAGTTTAATTCTTCCTGTAGGCATCTACAACCTGAAGTTCAGGAAAGATTAACCCCTCCCACTAGTTTTTGGCCCAGAACATGTAGTGAATAATGAAGCTATGATTGCTTGTAATTTAGAATTCAGCGTTTCCAAGAAGATCCCTTATATTCAAATTCTGAAGTCAACATGGAAACAAACGAAATTCAAATGCATTCACATTACTATTTGAATAACACTCTTGCTTTTGCTGACCTTAAAGTAAGATTAATCACTACAATGAAAGTGAGGAACATTCTTCAGGTTAATACAAGTAAAACAAGGCCTCCTTAATTTCTTCACATCACTCTACATATGTAGGTAGCTCACACTTTCACATTTCCTGTCACATTTGCAGTTCCATGCCTCAATATATGTACTAAGCTGTGGGAAAAAATGGTTTATGGGGAAAGACTAAAAGCAGAGCAGAAGCAAGTAATAAACAACACTTCCAAGAACCATCCCCAATTTTACTATTAGAACCAAAAAGTTGTCTTGTGATCTAAAAGATCAAAAAGATCAGTAACAAGAAAAATGGCATGGGGAAAACCCCGTATTTCCTGACAGCCCTCTAAGGGATAAGCAAGCAGGTATACTCTCTCCTCACCCAAAGAAAACCTCAGTTCAGAAGTAGCAGCATTCTCACACCCTCCCCGTCATCTCTTCAGCGCTGCTGAAGATACAAACAGGCAGAAGCAACAGAAAATTAAAGAGTTTGACACTAAGCATTTTATTTGACATAACAGTTATATAGAAAGCAATTTGTATTAAGAGGTTCGAAAAGTAACTAAAGCGTTTCCTCCAAGACACCGTTAAGAGCAAATTCACCAGAGCTTATTTGAAGCAAAGAATTAAACAGTCTGGCAAGTATTTAGCCCAAGCTTCAGGTTTTTCTACAGACTCACAGAATCATCTAGGTTGGAAAAGACCTTGAAGATCTACGTATTACATCAAAAATCTTGGTTTCTTCCAGAAACAGGTAAGGATGGGCCTAGCCTGTTTCAAGGATCTGCACATCCTCTAAGCTTAAGTTTAGAGAGTCCAACTATTTTGAACATCTGGAGCTAATCATATTCCTTAGGAACTGGTATACAGCAGAAGTAAACGTGTTTACAGCTTCCATAACAAAAGTGGAACATTCTGGAAACAGCCAGTTTTGTGACCTTCAGAGTCAAAAGTCTTTATCAGAAATAAACCTAACCAGAATAATTTCCCTACCCAGAGATTCATGTTTTCTTCTGACAGTATTCCTTAGCAGACTTCAGATATGACAGCTCACAAATAGTACCTACCTGACAGCAGACAGAGGTTGTCAATATGTGGAATACATTAGATCAGCCTTTATGCCACATTCAAAAGTTTCCAGAATATATCCAGTCCTCAGCACACAACATGTATGACCCAAGAGTGAACCCAGGGAAGATGCTCTGAAGTATGCATCAATTTGCATCCCTTATCTACCGGGAGCAGTGATACAGTGATAACCATTTTGGTTAAGAAATAATTCATGAGGTCTCTAAACAAACCACTTGCCTTGGAGATCAATTCATCATGATTGGCTAGATGGGCTCTGCAGTGGATACAGCTGTAGGTTCGATGACAGTTTGGCAGGTAAGCCTGGAACGTTTTTGATTTTGTCATTTTTACCATCTCTGCTGGTGGCTCCTCACTCAGCTCAGGGCTGGCACTTGAAGAATTACAACTTTGCTGAACTCGCTGACAAAAGAAACACTGGAATATGCAAGCAAAAGCCGTTGTTGTTCTGGAGTGTGTGTGGCACTTTCCACACAAGTGACAGAAGAGAAACAGTCACAACCTGCAGGTGAAAAGAGCAGAACAATTAGCAGATTACAACAAGGCCAGAATAAACTTGTTATTCAGCAATTCTAGACAAAGCAAGGTGTTATTTGGGGCAAGCTACAGGCCCCTTCTATGAAGCTGCATGATTCAAGTTCCATTCAACACAGAAACAAGCAGTTCTGTTCCACTAGTGGCTTCTACTCCATCACGCTTCTAACAAAGGAGATTCAAACAGTCCTCCAGGAAACATGAGCACTTTCTAATATATCAGGTATACTCTAAGACCTCCATGCAGAAAATTACAGCAGAAAGCAGGGGATTAGAGAAAGTGAATTGTCTTTAAAAATCCAGTGGTCAGTTCCAATATAGGAAGTGACAAGGCATCTTGGAAAACACCTGCCACATCCAATAAACATACAATAGATACTCACACTTCAGCTTTCAGCAAAAATCTTGCTGTATCACATCTAGCTTTAACTGAAATAAGTAAGATGATCCATGCCTCCTCATTTGAGCTCAGGAGAACTATGCCTTTAGGCAAAGACCTTTTTGACTGGTGTTTTGATCAAACCTAGTTAGATACTTCCCCACTCTACCAGAATAGTCTTAATGGATCCTACCAAAAAAAAAAAAAAAAAAAAGCCAAATTCTACAGAGAGAACACCCAATTGCGTTCTTAATCCTCCAGAGTGCCTTTAAGAGACATTACATGCACAGAGAAGGCCAGACCTTCCTGCTATGCTGGAAAGCAAGCCTTTTTTAGAGTTTGCCTCAAAATTACAGATTCTAAATATTCATAACACCATCTACTGATCTGTCAAAGGCCATCAGTTACCACACTATATGCGTCAAGCTAATGAGCAATCCAAACATGAACACTGCACAGTCACTTATGTCATCAGCTATCAGATGACTGACAGAGTAGGTCAATAGCACAAACACAGAAATGAGAGCCAGTATAAAGAATTTACAGTATCTTGATCCAGCTATTAAAACGAGCATGCAAACACTTGTCACAGTTGTAAACTGTGTGCAGGGCAGCAGTTAACCACTCTTCTAGCAGTAGGATACTAGTAATACAAATAGAGCAGATAATGAAAACCACATAAATTAAAGACTGTTTGTAGGAAGCCCTCACTGTGCTTCAAAAGAAGTCTTGAGAAAGTAATCTGTACAACAACCCTAGCACAAGAGACAGCCACAGCAAGATTTAAAGGGGTTTGGGTTTTGTTCTGGTGTTTTTTTTAATCTGGAGATTATGACTGCAGCAGAAAAATAGATTCAAGAACAACTAAAGGACTTGCTACAAGAAAATTTCTTAAACAAAGGATTACAAAGACAGATAAAGCACAAACAAGACATATAGCAGAACAGATGCAATCCAAAAGAATAAGCAAGAATGGGAACAAGTTGCCATCCAAAGCACATATCTATGCCCCAGAATGATTGGACTTCTGTTAAGACACCGAAAAAGAAAACAATTTTGATACGGAATACATGAATATATTTCAGCTATTAACACAGTTAGCATGAAGCATAGAACTTTACTATTAATACAGTAATTTAAATATTATATCCTTATTGTCTCAAGATAATTTAATTATAACTGCAAAGGGACAAATGATTTCAGTGCTTGGAGAAAAGATCATGCTTCTGTAGAACAGCTGGATATTAAGTCATTTATTAGGTAACAGATTATAGGAGAAAGACAACACAAGAAATAAAATCCTGGAAGTTAAGCAAGAGGTTCCTTTTAAATTCCCCAATTGACCTCTTAATGTTAGAAAGATACAGATTCTATTTAGGTTTGCAGAAATGGAAAAGAACCCCCAAAGTTTCAGAATGAAAGGCACCTAAAGCTAAAACGTTTGGATTAGACCCTTTTGATCAGTAACTGAAACATGAGTTCAATGCTTGCAGGAGTTCAGCAAGTTTTAATTCACACTTCTAAAAGCAATCTGGGCTCTTTCAGGCTCAACTGCATAAACTAAAGAATTCCAACGCTCTTTTGACAAAACTGTATTTGATACTGCTCTCTTCAAAAAGAGGGCAATCCTAGGTGTTTGATACACACTGTAAGAGCCACAGAGCTTGTTGCTTTGTGATGCTAAAGGCAAGATTCAAAACATGAACCATTTCGTAGTTGTTCTAGTAATGGTGAATAATTCCAGTCTCACTCCACTCTTACGAGCAGCAGCAGGTTCACAGCTGCTGTTCAGTATCTTGTGGAAGGCTGCGTAGAAACCTGAGGCAACTATTTTGTTCTTACTCCCAGACAACAGCACAGGCTGTGCTTCGGTCATGCACATGACAGCTGGGTTTCCTTAAGATTTGAAAGAAACTGCAAAATTAAGCATACGGGTTGCTGCCTGCCCGTGTCTAAATGGCTGCTCAGACCCCGTCTTCGGGTGAGTTGTATTTGCACCCACCGCTCCGGAACCAAGAGGAGCCTCTGAGGCAGCACCGCCCGCCGAAGCAGCCGGCTGGGTTATGGTTTCGTCCCGGAGTGTTTTCAGAGGGGTTTTCACGTGAAGGCGCTGTACTAAGCAATGTGAGATTGCTCAGACTTTTGTTTCTCGTCAGGGAGTATTTGTCTTCCACATATCTGCTGAAAGTAGGTAAAACCCTGGAAGATGACACGGGTCTGTTAAAATTTCAGTGCCGTAGGAAACGCGTTAAGAACAAACGCCCAGTTGGAGATCGGAAGGTAAGTAGGATAGGTCGGAACACTTGTTTCTGGAAAGGGAGTTTTGTGAAGAGCTCATTGCTTATAAAGAGAAAAATACACAGGTTTTAAGGTATAAAAACAATTTTAAAAATTAAGGAAACCAAAATACATCTCACATCCAAGTAGTTTCCAAAGCATCTGAGTTCTGTCGGCAATGATCATGTTTTCCTTTAAAAAGTAAATAAAAGCTAGCCGCTAGTTTCTTTTGGCTGTACTCTTCTGTTTCCAGGGGCAGAGTATAGAGATACAAACCGAGGAAGCCTGTGACAAAGCTGTCATTTATACTTTGCACCCCGAGGCAGGGCTCTTTTGTCATGCTACAGAAATGCAGCATCAGTAAAATTTTCTTCGCCTCCTTTTCTTGTCGGTACTGGCATATTTTTTTTTTAATCTTTATGAAGTGGGTTTTTTTTACCCAAGGGGCCTTGGTACTTTGCAGAATATTAAAGAAATAGAATCCATTACAATTCAGCTAGTGGCTGTAATCAATAAACCATGTGCTAGTTGATTTTATTCTGCCTATCCATTTTTTAACTACAATTCATAAGTTTATACAGTTTTTGTCATATGCTTCTTCCTTCTTAATAGCAAATTAATGGCCATTCTTGAAGAACAGTACAAAAAAGTCATGCTTGCACAATATATTTTGGCAAAACATCAGGAAACAAACAACTGTGAGCATATTTCCAGTAGGACTTTTACTGCAATTTCCCCATCATCTCTCCAGCTCCAGTGCTGGTAGCTGTAGTCTTGTAAAAAGGAGAAAGGTGATAATCCTTTTGATTTACTTAGTTACACTTCAGAGTGCACCAAATCAAGCTTCCTAATCCAGTTCCCACAACTGAGTTAGATGAGGCGTATGATAAAGATGTGCAACAAGATGACAACCGGACCAGAGCAGGCGGCAGGGATGTAGCATAGGTGAGCAGAGAAATGACATTAAACCTGATACAGTGCAGAGAGTACGTAAATCTCGACATGCTTCTTGAAAAACAGCTCCAGCCTGTTAAAAATATTCTGTAAAAGGTTTTTACAAATTTTTAACAAGCTGTTTCTTTTACTTCATTTTGAGAGGCCTATTACTACTCTCCCTCAACAGGATAGACTTCTTAGTCTGTGCTTTATCTAGCTAAGAGATTCCTGACTAGATGGATGGCTGTTTCATTTGGTTTGGCTGATCCTAGACCCTATTTGCACAGCTGCCATACAGTTGCCTATAAAAATACTCATATATGTATGCTTTAGAAGTAATTGCTTTGACCTTTTAGTAACAGTTAAGTTACATTGTATTTTACAGGTTCTAAGTACCATACCACAGTATGTTTACCATAGTTCAACTTTTAACCTCTTTTTGAGGATTAGGAAGAAGGAATATTAAGCAACAGCCAGAAAGTCACAATAAAAATAATTGATCTCTGCAGGTAGTCCTCCCAACTCATGTAGTGAGGTGCTGGTCCACTTAAGTCATGACTGGCTGAAACCAGTGAGGTGTCAGTCATGACTTAGGTGGACCGACACCTCACTGTTTCACCAAAGCTGGCAACAAAGCTCCCACCACAGTACCCAGCCCCTGCACCTCGAAGGCAGTGCTACCCCACATGCACAGTCCTCTTCAGGGATCATAGCTGCACAGGGTCCTGATGCTGAAATGCAGCAAATGCTGCAGTAGCTCTCGCACTCTCTAAAGTCTTGCTGGTTCTCTCATTCAGTACCGACTCAAAGAAGAGCAAATTTGGAATCACTGGTGCTGCTGTACAGGCTTTTCTACTGATGTGAATGCAACATCAGGTTTCTCTCTTCTGTTTGCCTTGAGAGACATGCTGTCATCTTGGTTTAGGTGTTAGGGACTGACCAGGTTACACAGAATCAGGAATGAAACACTACATGAGAAATGAAAAAATTAACCAGCAGTCCAATCCTGAATATAGAAATGACTCTCCTTTTCAGAGATGACAAGATGGACAAGGGAGAGAAAGAAGTGTCTGTCATTCAGCAAGGACAGCAAAGGATCCTGAAAGCTGAACAATGTTTCCATTGTTTTAACACAAGCTCTGCTTCTCCACTGAGAGATCCAAATGACAAGGACACTGAGGGTTTCTTTCTCTTTGCTGTTTGTTTCCCTAGTAACAAATACACAAGCTGCACTGTTAGAATACCATCCTTTTCTTTTTTTTTTCTTTTTTTTTTTTTTTTTTTTTTTTTTTTTTTAGATAAAGACATGTCAAGGATGTATTCAGTGCTTTCAGTAGCAGGTTAAGGTTGCTTGTATGTATGAACCTCTCGTACAGCATGATGTACTTGAAAGTACTGCATGTAGTCCATTGAGACAGTGAAAATAAAAGTGTGGAAGAAATAAAATGCTTGCATCTGAGTTTCTATACTGTTTAGATTGTACACTCTTAGGGCAAAGTCTACCTTTCACAGTGGAGATCTGATCTTGATTAGGAAAGCAGATGGCATACTACTACTACTACAAAATCCTGTGTAGTGTCCTAATTATATTGCAACCATATTATAATCAGTAATATAATGTGCACCATTTTAATGGGACCAATTTTGACGCCGAGAAATCTTGCCTATGTTTTTGTTGTGAGCATCATGAAACTTCTCTTCAGATATAATTCTGTAATAGGAGGGGGTGGTGTTGCTGTTTCTCATTGGGATTCTAATCCAGGTTATGGATCTGGAATTCACTGGGTTACAGGAATTGGAGGGATGGCAGGCAGTCATTGCCTGTGTAGTTTAGCACATTAGAAATAGAACTGGTAGGTGAATTGTATCTGAAACCATCAAAAGCCATTCTGAAAGCAAGACGAGCTCAAAACATGATAGGTAGAGGCAGGAAAGACCATTAAAGGCAGCTAAACAGAGAAAGAATGTCAGGATCATTTCTTCCTTTGCTTCTTCAGGCTATATTAAGTCTCAAAAGTTTGGAGACATTAACCAAATTTATAAAAAAATAAATCAGTTTGTCTTAGAATTGTCAAGCTCCGTGTTCTCTGTTTTAGCTGAAAGAAAACAACCGAAAGAAGGAAAAATATATTTTTTTAAAGCAAAAATAATTTATTTCCTGTATGTTTGCCATAAATGTGAGCTTAATAATGAAAAGAAAAAAAAGTTTGCTCTTCCCAGTTACTCAAGTTTATAACACTGTGTTCTCCGAGGAAAAGAAATACACATTGATTTCTTGGGACATGGCAGCAGCCAGCCTGAAAAGTATAATATAGAAATAACTGACAAAATTTATATGGAATTTCTGGTTATATAATATGAAAATATAACTATGCATTAATTGCAAACCAGCTTGTTGCTAGGTCATAAATTATACTTGTTTTTGTCACAGCATATTTTAGTTGCTTGTCTGGAATGCTGTGTGTAGGGAGGTATTTCAGATGAACAAATAATTTAGTATCTTTTCATTTGGGATGTTTTTTGAAACCAGTAGGAATAAGTATTAAATTGTACTACATATGCCAACATAAAACCTGCAAACCCAGAGAAGATGCAGTGAAGCTATTGCTTCAGTGGATGAGTGAATATCAAGTGATACGTTCAGCTGTCCTGAAATACTTTGATGTTTCAAGCTATCCTCAAGTGGAGAATAGGCAAAGGAATTTATTTGGGGGCTATGAATCAAACAAATTTGTATCATGATTTTTATATGATGTAGACATCTGCTCATATACATATAAATGGATGTGAGGTGGAAAAAAGTCTGTATCACCGAACTCCAGATACCTAATTCAGGAGTATATATATTCTCTCTAATCAGAGGGCTGAAATATACACCACTAGAGGGTGATTTGTCATCTGCAAAATCTCAAGTGCTCTTTTTTATCCCCACCATCACTGTGGAAGCTCTACTTTTATCTCTTGTGTGACTTTTGAAATAGCAAAGCCAGATGTTAACTAAACTTTTCTAATATTCAGACTGGCAGATATACAAGTGTCTATCTAAAGCAGAGAAGTTCACCAGGGAATAAGCCAACATACAAGCCCTTCAAGCTTCAGCATGCCCTAGCAGCTAGGTTAAACTTGTATTTTCTTTTTTTTTTTTTATTTTCCAGAATTTGGTTTTATAATACTTAAATATCTACTTTCACTATAAAATCTAGACATTTCACTGTAGGATAACAGTAATAGGAGCTTATAAGAGTTCAGGTTTTGTTATATACTCCTTTTAGTCTTTAAACAAAAATATAAGGCAAACAAAATAATTATCTTGATGTAAGCATAGTAAATGAAAATGGTGATGCTAAGAACAAGTGACAGCCATATTTATTCCTGAAAATTGTTTCCTGTACTAGTCAAGCTGTGAAAGGAAAAAGATGCTGGATCCATGAAGTTCTGACTGTCCACAAAAGCAGAGTCAGCTGCAGGGACTGCGAGCAGCTACTTGCCTGGTTGGGTAAACAGGGAAGACCTGCAACTGGTTGTTTCTGCTTTTCCTGCTAGCTGTTATTGGATTCGCAGAGCCTTTCAAGAGACTCCAGAGCACAGCAGATAATTCTAGTGTATGAATACATATGTATATCTCTCTATATAAAATTAACAGTATTTTTCTAATGGGAGAATTTATAACTGTTCCATTTGTGTATCTATCTGGCACAATCAATTACAACCTCTGCAACTGTAGGATTTGTAGATCAAGACCCAGAGGTGAGATACAGTAGAGCTTAAATCCTAGTGTTGTGACTCATTCTTATATGCTTTATACTGCTACAAAAGAAGATTCAAGATCAAAAAGCAGTACCAAAAGTATAATTAGAAGGTCTTTATATTTTAATTAAAACTGTAGATCTCAAATTCCAAATCTTACTGTCTATGGGCAATGTACTCCAGGTTTCTCTTTACAGGAAATAAGCACAAGCATTTTATCTAGCAAATACAGACTTGTTTTGATAGTTAATGTTGTGAAAGCATACTAGGGATGGAAAAGAGGATGAAAATGGTAGGCAGTCTTAACCTCTGTCTGTGACCTGTTTCAGAACTCAGTATTTGGATTTAATTTCTGATTCTGAAAGTGCATTGGTATAGATGACTGGCATGGACAAAATCTGTCAGTGAACTAGAGCCTAACCCAGTAGCTCTATAACCTCCCCCTCATCTCTGAAAGAGTAGTAATTATTTTTAAACCCACCCCCCCAAGCTCCTTTGGGAGGGGGATGTCTAGATCATATCCAAAGACTGGAAAAACAGAACTATTCAGAACCCCTGCCAGTGGCCAGGTAGTTCTGAATGTGGAGAGGGCTCTCTCACTTTACCGTGAAACTGGAAATGGTATCATCAGTTTTGCAGCTATTCACTCATGGTAAGTAAATTACACAACACAGTGGAACATTTGAATCTCAATTTAGCATGCAAACAGAAATGGCAACACATTAAACCAGCACACCACCACATACAAACTAATCACACTTTATGAGGACCATAGTATTTTAAAGTGCAAAAGCAAATGCTAGCATGTATTGTCTGCATTTAGCAGCAAAGAAAACATAAGACACATTTCTCTAAGGCAAAAGGAAAAGGTAGCAGAATAAAAAAACTGCATAAGCTTTTCAATGTACACATACATATTATAAAATCCACCTTTATATAGGATTGTCATCTGCTTCATGCAGCTACAGACTCCTTGGCTAATGTTGGCCAGCCATGACTTATCTGAGAAGTTAAACCTGTGTTTTGTGAGCTGTAGAAAAGCAGAGATTAATTTTCTGTTGATACATGTTTTGTATAAACACATTCTGCATATGCTTGCCTATATATGCAAAACAGTTGGCTAAAGGCAGGGATTCAAGCTTTTTCTGTTTTAGGTTTATTTGATTTCTTTCTTCTTTTTTTCCCCCTTCCTTCAAGAGGTGTGCTTCTCATCTTAAAACCTAGACTTATATATCCATCCTCATTTTATATCCTGACCAGATTAGGGCATCCAGCACAAACACCTTCTATTGTTTCACAGGTAAATAGGGCCAAGGGGATTACTGGAATCATGTGGTACAAGTCGCTGTAAAATAGGAGCCATGTGACTTCTGATATTACTTGTCATTTAAACCAGAACATCCCTTAGGAAAACATCCTAGAACATCCTGTCTTTACAAATTGTTAATTCCTTGTTCCAGTCATTTATTACTCTCATTGACAATTATATGCATCTTATTTCTCCCTTGGATGTATTTAGTTTTATCGTTCAGCTGTTTTTACCTTCATCTGTAAGTCTGAGGAGACAATAGGACTCACTGTAGATGGAAGAGCAAGTGACCCTTTTGAGTAATAGCATTTTATAAAGCACATTTTTCAAATTCTGAATTATTTCTGTATCTCTTCTCAGATCCTTCTCCAAGTTATCAAATGATTTCTTGAACTGTGGATCCCAGCAGCAATTTTTGTCCCTGTCAAGCACAGGACTGTTCTTTTCCTATTTAGGTAGTCTGATGATCATATCTGTTTGGTTAATTGCCAGGCATTCAACTGATTCTTCATTAGGATCCCCAAATGCATTTCAGAAATGCTGAATACCTGCCTGCTCCCATCTTTCATTCTAAGCAAGGAGATCTGCAAAGTTTAAAGCCCAGAGAAGCCTTATAGAGAGGGAAACAAAATCTTGGTGAGTCTGTTACCTTCTTTGAATTATAAGCAGCATTTTGGATACATCAGAGACACTTGGTTAAATTTACTTTTTTTTTTTTTTTTATTGTAACACAACTTTCAATAACTTACTAGGAACATATAAAGTTTCTCTAACATCTTACATGCAAACTAGATTTGAAAATCATGGATGTTTAAGAGCATATAAGGAAAATGGACTTCTGGGAAGAGATGACCTGTTAATTCGTCTAATAAAAATGTTAGGGCACCCCACAGACCCTGTCATATAGCTGGTTTTAGACAATGATAGATTATACAATCTTAAGAAAATATATTTCTGTTACCATTATATTTTTGTTACCATTAATCCATCAGCCTCATGGCAACTATTTTAATATAGTTAGCTGTTTGAATAAACAATATATGAATGATAAAATGAATACTACAGATGTTTAACTTCTGTCTTTTCTACAAGCAGTACAGGTGTGCAGATCATATGTTATAAAAACATATCCATTCTTAAGCTGAAAGCAGTGGAGGTGTGACTGACCAAATACACTGACACTTTAATGAAGACTTTGGCTACTGAGAATCTTGCTATAAGGGGAAAGAAAAAAAAAAGAAGTTAGATAATTGATTGTAAAACATTTTCAGCTTGTTAATATTTTGTCCTGGATTGGTCCAGACATACCATACAAGTTAAAATCCTAGCTACATTCAGGAGGCATCTCTTGTCAAGAGTAACCAGTGGGTCATTTGGATTTTTTCAGAGGTGAATCAGAACACAGGTTTCCTTAGTACAGCTATGCTCGAGGAAAAAAAGTAGATCCCTATTTTGACTAGGAGGATTGACTTCCCGTGGTAGCCAGCACATTGTTTACAGGGCAAAATGTACCAGGACAGGGTAAAACTTCAAGGCATCACACTGTTCTCTAGAATTGTAAAAAGACACGTATTATTAAAGAGCTTATTCTTTTTTGCAATTTCAAGATCACAAAGTAAAAAGTGATGTTTGCCACAGAAATTTTCTGTCGGAGAAGGGCAAAATGAAAAGCTTTTATTGTAATTAGTATGGTCTAGTGTAACTCTGAATGAGAAGAAGACTGACGAGGAGAACAGTAGTAACATGAAGAAAATATAGATGCTCTTTAACTGTCAGAACACAGGATTGTACACTATAACTTGACACAGCAGGCAGGCCTAACTGATGGATTTCTTTTTAACAACTCATCTAAAAAGTGTCTAAAAAGATTGCTGGAAGGAGAACATACAGAGCAACCCTGTCTTCCTGTCCTGCTCACTGGGATTTTCACTGTAGTAAATTCACTGTGGTAGCTGCTAGAGCTGCCTCTGCTGTTTTATTACTTACAGTGCTACACGTGGTTCTTTAAGATTAACCCAAGGGCCCTATCTGCCACCCTTTAATTTTTCCCTCCTCTTAATATTTCCTTCTTTCTTTTCCTCAAGCCACTTAATTCTGTAAACCCACAGAGAATGCAACTGAGTCTAAAGACTAGTTTTAATCAGAGTAAAGAAAGAAGCATCACTGCTTCTTTCCTCCAGTGCTATCTCAGTAACTGAGAAGCAAACAATCCTCTTAAAGCTGCTGAAGGATTTAGAGACAAAATAGCATGTAACATTTTCTTCAACCCGGAAGATGTGCCTGGTACTGTACTGGCTCCATCTTGTGGCTGAAACTGTACTGATTGTTTTAGAACAGGTTGAATCTTCTTACCATCGTCCTTACATAAATATTGACAAACAAATGTGTGAACTTCCTTTATAACTTTTAGAACAAATGGGTTCTGGTAATAGAGAAGTGGGGAGACTGGTTAAACACGAGATTTGCTCAAGCAAGCATTGCCTGTTTCCCTGGGTAACACTATCAGTCATGGTATTTGATTACATCCTCCTCCTTACTGTTAGAGAAGCCTCAGCCAGGCATAGTGAGAACAAGCGTCTGTCAGCATTTTTTAACTCCAACCGGCAGCAGTGTTGCTGTTCACTATTAACTAGGTGTGGCCAGGGAAGTAACTTGTCACTTACCTTCAAGAATTGCCTAGAATTTCTACCAAACCATAGAGTGTTGTTTATTTTGGGATCATTTATTTTTTTTATCTCTAAACCCAATATTTTTCAGGTGGTTGTCATTAAATAAAATTCTAGCATTTGAATAGAAAAAAAAAAAAAAAAAAAAACAGATATGTTTCAGATGAGCTCTTCCTGCTATCCCTGAACTAGAAGTGTATTCAGTAACTGCCCCGGTTTGACTGCTTGACCACCAAAACCATCAACTTGGCATAGGAAAGGGCAAAACACAGCAGAAACTGCAGAAATTACTTAGCTCAGCAAGTCTCGTGGTCATATCCTGGTTATGTAAGTTCATATTTTGGTGCATAGCATAACTACATATTTTCTTCAGACTGCAAAAGTAAGTGTTTCACTTTTAGCACCTTCAGTCTTGGCAGCAGGAAGGCAGCGAGCTAACAAGGTATGCTGGATTTTCTGTTTTGTTTGTATATTAGCTTGTATTTACTGGATAGAGCTTCTAACAGTCACGTTAGAAACTGCATTCATCACTCTAAAAATATTCAGAGATGCAAGATTGCAGAGAACAAAAGAATATAAATTATGTTCCCAGAAAGTGGTACAACGTTGGTTACTGGGTATGTGACAAGATGAAGCTAGCTGCACACATATTTTGGCAGTCTTAATATGAAAGATATATCCCCTGATCCATGTGACGTGGAAACAAAGAAAGTGCCTGTTTCCAAGGAGTCACAGGCCCCAGCAAAATGTGCCTGGCAAGAACAGTCTCTCTTGCCATGTCACATAGAGCATCCACGATATCCAAAGGGGAGTGACAAAGCACCTTGTAACGTAAGTGCCAAGCCAGAGCACATTCCATATCTAGAATTCTAATTTATATCCCCTGCAGACATGCTCAGAAATCTGAAAATAAATGCATGTTTGCAAGACTGACACATAGTGAATTAATAGTATCAAAGTCTTAGTCTTTCTGCTGTACATCATATGCGTTTCATAAATCAAATTTGCTCATAGCTGCACTACAGTTTTATATGAAGAATTTCTTACTAGATTTTGCACCAAGAAAAAACATTTGCATTAAATAAGCATGTCGCTTTGTCAGAAGGCACTATGCACACAGTACCTACATGCTGTGCTCTGTACTGTGCCATACAGCCACTGAACGCTTATTCTGTACTGACATCTTTGTCAAAATGTTCTCTGAGCCTGGCACAGTCACCAGCATAGCTTGTAGCCCAGTGAGGTAGCACAGGGAAGAGGATGGGAGAGGAATGGGGTGGCCAGGCTGTTGCAAGCGCAGCATGGTTAGCACTTTACGTGACTGGAACAAGGGTGGGAGGAAGCTATAAAAGAGTATCTTACATCTGCTCTCGACAGCAGCATCCAGCACCACACATCAAAGTTACCAGGCGTATGTCATAGTATTACTTAAAATAAAGGCAGAGGTAATGCTGCTCCGTGTTCTGCAGTGCACCAGGACAGAAAGTTGACTGGCAACACAGGGATGAAATGCACATGTTGCAATGGCATCTCAGTCGGTATCTGAGTTTTGGAGAGGGTGGCACTCAGGTGTATCTCATCCACACTGCCTACGGGTCACAGCTCTCAGCATCCTTTTCTGCATCAGCATGTACAAGAAAAGTTGTGTCAGTGCTGGCACACAGGCAAAGTAACTGTCAAAGGTGCGCTTGCGTGCTTGCCCTTTGATTTTTTTGATACACTCGCCCTTTGCTTTTTTGAAAACCATTTTGCATCCTGGGTTTTGATATCTCCCTGGTATCTTTGTCAAGACCCTGTTCAGCCACCCTTTTCTGCAAGTGCTTCAAAAATATCCATATTCCTGTGCCTCATTTCTGGGGTATCTCAAACCTTTAGGCTCAAAAAAAAGTCACCCGAGACCTCTGCCTGACTCAGTGAAGCACAGGCCAGGCCCAAAGCAGATGCTCTGGCAGGAGCACACAAGCACAAATCAATGTCACTCACATTTAATCAGAAAAGCGATATCTGCTCTTTTGTGCACTCAGAGAACCCCAGAGCAGCTAGAGTGCCTAGGTGAGCAGGGTGGGAAGCAGCGCGTGGGAACCACTGCAGAGCCCCAGAGTGACTGTTGGAACCAGCAAGATCCCCCGAGCATTAGCACCCAGAAACTTCCTGCAAGACACTTTGCTTCTGCTACAAACAAGATCCTGCAGTCCCTCAGATATCATTACAAGAGAGAAATGGAATCACATATAAGCAGTTTTAAAACATGGCAACAGTTTGTTAAAGTTAATTTTTCATGTTATCAAGGTACAATACTGTTTTCTCCCAGTTCTTTATCTTGAATTGCTCCTTTGATACTTAGATCCGTATGTATGAAGAGGCGTGGACAGGTATGGAGACGGGAAGAACAGATTGTACAAAGTTTGACAATCATAACCAGCATAACAATCATCATTAATATTTATATTAAGAAAGTACCTGATGCTTCACCTTGCTCCTGTGCTTCATGCCCTAACACGGTGGTGAGCTTTATTCGTCAGTGGTTGGAATTGCTTGGACCCATACCAGAAACCAGGGAAAAAAGGAAGAATGATCAAACCAGTCTCCATACAACAAAATTTTCTTTTAATTCTCATTTCTACTGCCTTGACCAGCCATACTGCACACTCACTGTGAGACTCAGCCTGCTTAAAAAAAAACAACACACAAAAAAACCCAAACCCAAACAATCCCCAAACCTATCACCTAAAAACATAAACAATTCATTAGCAGTTTCAGAGGTATGTTGGTGCTCTAAACTGTTGCTAGGTTAGCTTCTGGAGCTAAATTCTAGAGGATTTATATAATATATTTCAGAATGCTGTAGGTATTATTGATTTTGCTCTTTAATGATCAAGTTTAAGTGTCTCTCAGTGAGGTTTTTATTTATATAAACGATATTCATGGCAACTTTCCACCAGCAGATGGCACGAGTACAGACCATAATCATGTTCTACAGTGACTGGAATAAGCTGGAGAGCTTTGAAACACATAGGCCTGAGCTATGGTTATGCTTTTCCATATCCTTTAACATCTTTTCTTTGGATTTTCATAGAGGCAAGGTTTCTGGTGGGAGCCTGAATAAAAAGTATTATTACATCTTTTCTAGGGCCAATTTTATCTGTGCTGTTTTTCCTCTCTTGGAGACCATATAGCCCTGTTGCTGAAAAATTTGACCTGCGGACAAAATTAATAGTGAATGTTACACAAAACAGCTTTTGATTTCTAGAATATAGATTGTCTTTATGTGTAAAATCCAGTGCTTGAAACGTGCAAGGGGCAGCACAAGAGGAATGAAAGCTTAGCCCGAGAGCAGGAACAGCCCAAACTATGGTGGTGCTGGGAAGAGCAGCGTGTGCAGCAAGGCAGGTTCATTGTTTGCACCTCTGGGCAGCTGAAGGCTCTGTACAAAAGTCACATTCTTTGCTCCCAACATGTTCCAGTCAACACAGAAAAAAGGATGTTGTGAGGGGTAGCACTCTGTATAGCCCACAGGCAACGTGACTGAAGTATGGATGGAAACAAAAGTGAAGGGAAATTCCATGCCTCAATCTTTGACTTTATCACTGTATTTCTTAAAAACTGCAAAAACTAGCAGTGTAAGGTATAAGCAAGTAAGAACTAAAGATCTACATTCTCCACCTCTTCACTGCTGTCAGCCAGGGTTGCACCAGGTGACCCTCAGGGGTTCCTTCCATTTTTCTGTGGATCCCTTCATTAGCTCGGCCTACTGTTGACAAAAGCTAATGTATGATTAATTGCAAAGAATTACAGAAAGTTCGCATGATGGACAGCTAAGGCCAGGCATTAACCTGACCCCAGTTCAACCTTTGAGTCTTCAAGGACTAAAGAAAAAAAAAAAAAAAAAAAGAAAACAACTGATTACAGGAGACAACAAATGGAAAAAGGGAAAAATTTTTGCAAGAGGATAGCAGGTAGCCCACCTCTGGCTGCAGCCGTTACCGCCTGAAGGAGACAGGGCACTGGGTTTATTCATTGTCTGGACTGCTGTAACAAGCCAACATGGCATCGGAAAAACCACCCAGTGGCATCGTAAGTTCAGCTGACTACCAAGCCCGGGAAGCTGACAGCCTGTGGTTCAGTCACCAGCAGGAGCCAGGAACTGGGTTTATAGGAGAGCACGAGCTGGGTTTGCATTACCTATTTTCCTCCAGCTTTTGGATATTAGCTAGCTCTTCACTGCCTAAGGAGGTGCAAAGGGTATACGGATGTATTTGTTATCCCTGAACAGGTCATACAGAGAGTTTGTAATTTTTACTAGTTTACCTGAAGATGATTTTATTCTAAAGACATTCCAGGGCATGGAAGGGTGCACTCTAAAAGAAAGGCAAATGAAGTTTCCCCCTACTCCTAATTCAAGTACAGTTGGCAGGATCCCTGAAATGCAGTCACACTTCTTTTCACAGTGAAAATTACTAGGTGTTCAAGTGATTCATACATTCAAATAAAACCAAAATATACACATGCAAAATTTCAATAACGTAACACAAAAATGTCATCATGAATCCATTCTCAGTGCAAGTGAATGCCACGGCAAGACTTAAATATCCTGAATAAGCACCTTAAGAGCTGAAATGCGCTCTCCTGGTTAATTAATTGCTATCTTCGTTTGAGGTGGTGTGTGGCAATTTGTGGATAGAAATGTTTATACAAGAAATGCCATGGGCTTCGTTGTTGCTGCCCACCCACAAAAAAACGCCTGGGTTATAATCACCACCTTCAGACAAGCTCGGTTGCATGCTCAAATTTCATCCATTCAGGCGCATTGCTTCCAAGACATTTTTGTTTTCTAGTACCTGGGGTTTTTTTTGATCAGAGATTCCATTCAGTAGCTATCATGGACATGACATTTTATTCTCAAAAGGGTTGCATTGGTTCGGAGTATGTTTATTCTTTGAACTAAGTGTTTAGTTTAATATGCTTGCCGTAAATAAACTCAATTACCCCTTACAGTAAAAGGCCACAAGCTCCTGCTTTAAGAAGCTGTTTGATCCATGTTAAGTGGAACTGTTTCCTGATAAATGTTTTCATGTGGTATTTGCCTGTTAATTCACTTAAATACCTTGAAAAGAATCAGGCTCCCAAAGACTGTACATAACAGTCGCAGGGAAGGAGATTTAAAGGGAAGAATAAGGTGAAGAATTACAGGAGTAATTGACAGCTGAGAAGCAGAAATATTATCCTATCCAGTCACTGAAAGTAATGAGCAACACTGAAAGGTCATTTCTTTCTCCTCCGACTTTAAAGGATTGATTTGAATGGAAAGCAATTTTCTTAATTACTTAATAAAGGCATGAAGGGAAGGTGTAGTCAAAAATACACACGTTAATACAGGCACTTTGATCAGACCAACTACGACTGGCAGTATCTGCAGTAGGGTGATGATGGAGTCTGGCCCAACGGTTGGTTATCCACATCTTGAAAGCAGAGGGCAAATCATATGTTCTTTGCTCATTTATTTGGCACTATTTAAGCCCTGAACACAGCTAAGGTTATCAGACAGCACCACATAGCATTTTCTTGGCTCACCAGCTGCTTTTAAAAAGAGCTACAACTCGTCTTTGCTTTTCCCCTCCTGGGCAGTTTCAGGGGAACTGCAGACTGGATGTTGTGCAAGCGCTGCCTGCCTGTCCCCAGACCTCTGCAGCTCGTCCCTTCAAATAACAGTACTGGCACTGCAGATCATTACAACAATTATTTTTAAAAATAAATGCACAAAATGCTTGCTAAACCTGAGCGATTCTCTAAAAACTGTTTCTTCCAAATTAGCATGCTCTTCGTAACTGTCGCCACAATACACAAGGAAAGCAAAAAATCTGTTCTGATTTATCCCTCTGTCAACTCCATTGTACAAAACAAGCACAGGCAAAGGTGCTTGCCAAGGTTTTTATTACTGTCTCACGAGGAAGTGTCATTTGCCTAGCAAAACACTCAGCTCCGTAATAACTACCAACAGTTCTCACCAAAAAAAAGAAAATTACTGATTTCAGTATTGTAGTGAATGTTGCTTCCAGGGGAACCGAGAGAAACGGAGTGGAAGAGGGAGGAAAGTCTCATCAGTCATAGACGAGGCATCGACAAGCAACATCACTGAGCCTGCACCGACGGGACGCGGCGGGGGCTGAAGCCCGAGGGCCGGGGCAGGAGCCCAGCAGGGGCTGGTCCCATGCGGGGCCCAGCAGGAGCAGCGGCAGGGCCGGGGGGTCCCAGAGCCGCCGCTGGGTTTCACCTGCGCACCAGAGGCCGCTGCCTGGAGCCCAGGTACCGGGGAAGGACAGGCGCCTCATCTCTCCAGCACTGCAGCAAATTCAGCCATTGGAATATTTTCTTATTCCATAGGACTAAAACATTCATCCCCAGAGAAAAGCCATGAAAACCCTCAAGCGTTAGGTTTTATCTACAGCTACAGCAACCAATGACAGGCTCCACAGCACATGGATACACGAAGGCAAATTGTTCTGAAGAGCTTCACATCTGACTGCTAATTACATCTCCTCAGGACTGTTTCCTAGAAGAGAAAGGGGCTATTGTGCATAAACACATCCCCACCAGCTCCTGGCAGTGCAGGCCGTACCTCTCCTGCCTGCGCACCCCTGGAGCCAGCCACGCAGCGTTTGTTGCTCCGTTTCTGACAGCGTGCCACCAAGGGAACACAGCAGAGCAGTGTATCTGTTTTTTTAACTATAACACAGCACTGTGTTCTCTGCACAGGTCAGACCTCTTCCACTTTTTTCCACCACCCTCTCAATTGGATAGGAAACAGTCCTCTGCTAGAGCCGATAGGCTCCAAGGACAAAACACTACCACAGCAATCAGCTTCCAACCATAAATAACCTCACATTCTCTACTTGCTCTACAAATTGTTAGAGATATTTACATAAAAACGTATTATTGCTCCACTGACAATGTGTTTGACGTGTTGATCTGCTGTCATCTAGCAAATAACGTTGCAAAGTTACTGCTTAGAAATAATTGCTGTCAATGCTGTAGTTGCCTGGAACTTGTTACTAGGACCAGATTGCTGTGGGGGCTGGTCACAGCGAAAGGTTTCTTGTAAAAGGCACAGACATCGGCTCTATAATCTCCAAGTGCAATGTACAGGTCCTTCAGGAGACCACAGTTAAGATTTACAGCTAAGGTAATGTCACACATTTACCGAGCAGCACCACAAATAACTTGACCATGTGTTTACAGTAATTTTATTTACAAGTTACCACATGACACCTGTAGTACTACAGTTTTTATAACACCATTAGCAGTAAAATAAGTCACATCTAAGAAGAGTAGGAGGCAGCAGAGAAAAATGTGCGCAGAGAGTGCAGCAAAGCTGTTCAGCTATAACTGAAAGTAGGTATTTTTCTACAGACTGAAAGCGAGGAGGAATATACATGTCGAGAAGAGCAAGTTCTTCAGCCCTGTTAGTTCTACAGCATTAAAATTTTTGTACAGTGACACTTTAGTATGATGAATACTACACACTAGCAGTCAAACGCAAGTGGTGGGGAGAGAACGGTCTTAATATCTTGCCCTTTTGAGCACCCAGAAAGGAAAAACAAAGCTTCCGTCTTTGAAGGGAAAGTTATCCAGGGCTGGTTTACTTGCAGAGCCAGTAGTGCAGAATTGCTACTGGGGGGGCAGGAGGGACAGAACTTAGAGTTCCCATGCATTGCATATTGCCTGCGCGGTCTTATCTGGTCTCGAGTTAAGTAGCAGGTGAGCAAAACCAGTTGCAGCATTCCACAAGTCTTTTTACAGTGCTGTGATCTAATAAGGCTGAGCATAGCTTAGCAGAATCCCAAAATCAAGCAGAGAAAAAAAAGCCCTTCCGCTCTCTTATAATCCTTGGCTCTAACGATGCTGGTGCTGAGCCTGGGCCTTTCTCAAGAGGAAAATGTGGAGGAGCAATTCCGGAGAAACGCTCTAGATCTAGATGTATTCTGGTGATAAGACTCAGAAGAAAATAAGCTTAATGCAGCATCAGATGCAACCCTTTTCTGTTTCAAAGTACAGCAGCAGCTTCCAGAAAGCAAAAAAGTATTATTCAGAACTGTTTTTTTTTTTCCCCCCAGACATCTTTAATAGCCTGGAGCAACTGTCAATGCACACGATCCATGCTAGTGGCTGGAAAGACAATGAAAATAAAAGCTGCACAGTAATAATTATTTCCACTACTAACTACACACAGGATATATTGCTTTTGGTACAGTGCCATGTATTGTCACAAGAAGAAAACCAGTGATTAAGTTGAGCACACATGAATTACGCAGACCTTTGCCATGCTGGAACAACAGCGTATTATACTTTGAAAAATGTCACCAAGTCAGCTGTAAAAACAGCTTAATACAGTTCTCTTAAAATACCAAACACACTCTCAAAAACAAGTTTATAAATTAAGTTTAGCTACAAAAGAATGCTTAAGAAATGACCAGAGGTTTTTTTTCCTTAATCCCCACACCTTTGCCTGGAGTGCTGCACTTACGCTGCATGTGACACCAACCACAGTTTTAGAACATGTAGCTGTAGTGACATCAACAACATGCATTTAAGTATTTTTGAGTGCGTAAGCTGGCCTGCAAAAATTTGTGTTTCTTCCATAACTGCGGCATACCTATTCAAAAAGCCTGCGAAAGTATATACATGTACAAAAACTAACAAAAAGCTTTTTAAGAACACAGAATGCATTAAAAAGTCTAAAGTTTGAACTCCTGAATCTATGACGTCTCAACTACAAGTTAGAATATTTGTGAGTTTTAACACTTCCAGGAACATAGAAAGGTTTTTTTTTAGTCAAAATTACCTTTTTAAGTACTAGCTATTGAAATTAAAGGTGAAATAGGAGAAAGACTTGACTAAAAAATCTTCCAGCACACTTAGGATATAATCAGTTCAGTGAGTCTCAAGTGAAAATACTGAATATTCAACATTTTTGCATTTGCAGTTTTAAGGCAGAAAAACATCTTCAGAACAAGCTATTTAGTCCTGGATCTAACAGAAAAAAAACCAAAACCACACACCCAACAAAACCGTAAGAGATGCATCTCAAGTCTTTTAGTAATAGCAAATTTTAAAAATTCCTATGGCATTCTTTTACAGCTTTGGGTTTTATTACTTTTTTGCTAGAAAAGCCTGAATTTTGAAACAGTTTTCAAACATGCTGAAGCATGCATCATGGCTAGAGAGACTAAACTTTTCCATTGTTATTTCTGGGTTGTGTATTCAAGGTCAGCATTAAAATCGTAAGGTGGAATGAAGAGATCACTCTCCTGTGCAACGCCTCAGCTGGCGCCATCCCGGGCACTGCAGTGACTGGCCGCAGGAGAGGAGCTGCTCCGAGCTCCGCAAGCTTCCTCCCCAAAGCCAGCGGCCGTACCCAGAGCCCAGCTCTGTGAAGCACAGCTGTGTCCTTGGCTCAGCTTTACAGAAGGAGAAAAACCAAAATTCAAACAAAAGTTAAGCTGTGAGACTGTAGATAATCTACAGCCAGGCAAGATAAAGTAAGAAGTGAACTCACTGAGCCAGTCGTAGTAGACAAAGGACTTTGAAGAAAAATACCAACATGGAAAATGTAAAACCCTGAGGAAGAAAAGTGTCACTGGAAGACAGTAACTCAGCAAGATCAAGGGTCAGCCCAGTCCAAGCAGCAAAGGAAGGAGACATGGAAGAGCATTTCAGTCGAGAGCTTATACAGTTGAGTGTCACGCAAACTCACAGAAAGATTCACGAGATAAAGCATTTTTTAACTCATTTTTAGATAAGAAAATGCTGCAAACCCAGCATGATGTCAGGGTATTTCTTGTTCTTTTCTGGGAAATCAGAAATAGAATACTTCAGGGCTTCTTTTTTCAGCCTCCATGTACAAACATAAGCTACCTCTGTACCAAGTAAAATGAAAAGCTCGAAGGATCACACATTTCTCTACCACACCCAAAAAGGGAAGGAACTTAAGGAAATGAGCTCTGTGTGTTGAAAGATGAGGGGCAATTTTAGGGAAACAGCAGGGAGCTTTCAGTATTCACAAGGTATTTGAAGATTTAGAGTCAAAAAGAAAAGTTGGAACCAGTGACTGTTGGGCTTCAGGCAGAAGTTCCCAAGAGCAACGTGCCACATCTCAGCCAAATGCATCATCATTCTTTGCTGTTCCTTATGTCTATTTTAACATTGCCTTCCCAGAAAACACAGTTACCACATCACACGCTGTGCTTTCAATGGGAAGAGTCTTGGGAGACCTTCCAGCCTTCTTGCTTACCTCCTCACTGCATCTACATCAGTTTAACTAACGGGATCAATAATCTTTTGTCATCAGAAAGCTCATGAGTCCTATAGAAGAAAAATTTTGGAACCACTGGAACTTGTTTAGACTTAGTTGGAACAGGAAGACAAAGAGAAAAGTAAATTGTCAATAACAAGATATACTGAAAAAACAGGCAGAGTTCTGGAAAACACCTGAAGGAAAATCATCAGTGTAACTTATAAAGGGGGGAAGATAGAGGGGTTACAGAACAATTCTGGTATCTAACTTCCAAGATTGGCCTTCACATGAACACTGCACGAGCGGGACCCCGTTCCTGATGAGGGACATGACCACCGGCCACCTCTTGCACCCGGCAGAGCACCAGGATGTTGCTTTGCAGACTCACCAAAGCTGCCTTCGGAAACAGAGTTCATGCTCTAGGGCTCTCCTGAAGCCAGCTGAAGAGTTTCACATGTGGTGAAAAGATACCTCAGAGTAAGATAACCATCAACAGACATGTACTGATGTGCTGAAGTTTCTAAAGTCTTCTACACACCTCAAATGTTTTCTGTATTTTTCAAGCTTGTCAAGCATTAGGTATATGCAATGTACTAGAAAGAATAACTGAAATTGAAATCTGCATCTTTGGACCGCAGAGGAAGTCCTGGGCTCAGAGCTCTACAAAGCTTGGTGCCATCCAACCTACACTAGTATCTCTTCCAAAACAGGGGGCTTGTACTCCAAAGTAGTTCCTCGCAAACCGTTGTATCCGGGCACACCGTCTGCCCCCGCAGGGCAGCTCAGCTTCCAGGGCACCGGGGGGCTCCCACTGACACAGGCCAGCCCACACAAACCACAAGCCCACACCCAGACCCAAGCGCCCATCTCTACAGTCTCTGACTCCAACAGTTGAAGAGCGCCCGCTATACTTTAAGCTTACAGATAGAGAGGATCAGTGTCCCGTCCTGGTGAAATACAGGAAATACGCGTGGTATTTCAAAGTAACCCTACTTAAACAAGGATTACAAGAGCATTAAGTCAGTCAGTAGCTTGTCAAAACCTCCACCGAGACGAGCTGCAGCGCAGTTACACCTTGAAGCAACCACTGAAGTACACGCCGTGTGAAAGCAGCATTCTGCTAGGGGGAACAGAGGGAGCCAGAGGCAGCTACAGCCAGTGAAAAAGTAAGAACACTCATAAACCTGTCTATGGCAAAAATTAGATTCTGTAATATTCTGGGGAAAAAATGACACACTCCGCTGTGAAAGCCAAAGAGGGGATGGAGAGATTAATTGGGACAAGCCACTTCTCAGAGTCTTTACAGACCTGTCAGTTACAGCTAAGCTCTCTTCAGTTTCAGGTCACACTTTCTATTTTTATATTATTTAGAGAAGTTTCTAGCTGCCATTTTCCAACTACATCTTTTAAGAGTTCAGTTCTTTGGCACAGTCTGATTCTAGGCTAAAATAAATTTTTTTAATTAATTAAAAGCCCATTACAGTGATGTAAGCTTACTTGCAGTGCTCCCAGAAACCACATTTCAAAACCTTGGCCTGAGAAGAACCTTTTTGTAGTAAAATGAAAACATTTGGTCTCTAAGGATTGCTCAAGTAATTATTTTCAAGATTTCACGGGAACAGTGCGATAGCTACATGAATATCAATATAAAGAGTGTCAAAAAAGCCTGTGAATCATCAGATACACTGGAATCTATTTGCATTACTCTGTGTGCAACAGTTCAAAATACTGATTTCATAACTTTCTTGCACCACAGATTTCTGCCTGTCTATAAAGAAACTTCACCTGTGGTTTTTTGGATGGCTTCCCTAATTTAATTTCAAGCTGGTATAGTCATACAGTGGAACAAACACACTCAAGTATTTACAAATATAAACGTAGGCTGCTCACTACTGCAGTGTTCAAGTGACAGTCATTTTTCAGATAAGTCAATGTAACACATCAGTGTATTTATGGATTAGAAAACAGCAGGTCATTTTAAAGCACAATTCCATTCATTCTATATACGCACAGTACTATGCTGATTTGGTAATACAGGGACACAATTTAATGATTTTCTTTGCATTTGTTTTTACAAGATTCAGATGCCAAAAACAAAACAGAACATTAAGTTACCTGATTTAAAAAAGAAAATCACATACGTTTACAACATCAAAAGAATAAGACGAAATATAAACCTTTGCTACTTACAATTGATCTATACAGATTAACCAAATCACAAATCTGTCACAATATAAACGTTTAATTGTTACAATGAATAAGAACATACAGAAAATGATTTATTTATTTTTTTAATATAAAATCTTCCTTTGCTTTTTTGTTTTAAACTTACCATTAACTAAATTAGCTATGCAGGACTTGTGGGGTACATGACTAAGAAGGCACCAACAGTACAAAGCAAAGACAAAGCAGTTTGAGTATTTTAAGAGTGCTCTACACTGATACAACACAAGAAAAGGCAACAATAGTAAGTAAACCAGCTGCAACCTTTAGAAATTTGTTCTAGATTTACAAAGGTAGTCCAACTTTTACATTTCCTCCAATGTTTCACTTAGTTTGATCACAGCACATGCTACAAAAACCACTGTAAGCTTCACTTTACTAATGTGCACTTTTCACTAATTTAGTGTCTTGATTTCAATTGTTAACTAAACCATTTTGAACCACAAATGTATTTAAAACTAAGTAAAAGGATTGTTTGGACTTTTTTGTTTAAACGGCATTTACAAAAATATTTCCCCTAAAATCTGGGATTACTTGAAGACATTGCTGTACAAATATAAAAGTACTATGCAAGGGACCAAATTCATGAGTATACGGTGTGTATGTATAAACCTATATTTATACCATATCACTGTGCTGTAACAACACAATAAATTTATCAATAACCAAGGACTATATAAACTACACTAACATAAGCAAATATATATTAATAAAGTTTAAATCTATAGTACAGTTGCTCAGCAAACAACTTCGACATGGTATAAATATATTGTAGCATATTACAGTGGGCAGCAACAACAGGTTTTTCTTTTCTCGTTCTGTAAGGAAAACCATGCTCAACATCTTGGGTTTCATTTGGCCACTGCTGAGTTATGTCATCACTGCTACTCCTGAAAGCTCATAGCGCACCACACCGCTCAGCCCATGTAGTGTGTTGGACACTTCAGATTTGATATAACGTGTGATATTGATGAGGAAGAGTCTGGCGACAGTCAGGACAGCAGAGCAAGATGCTCATTTGCCAAAGCATCCAAGAGAATTTTATCTTTGCATATTTTTCTTCAGCTGAAGGTTGGAATGTTTTTGACAGTGAACTGTTTACATTCCTTATTCCCAAAACATCTTTACCATGAAATATGCATGTTACTTCGATTAAGAGTTGCTGTTCTCCGCTCTAAAATACAAAAACCACATAAAGAAAAACAACCCAATGTAAAATGATTAAATAACTGACCTAACACAGTGTTGTTATAGGCACCTTCTTTTAAACTATTTTCAAAGTCTAACCAAAAAAAAAATAAATCATGATTCTGCATTTGACGCATCAACAAATTCAACCCAACAACGTTTACTGAATTCAGTAAAAGATTGATGAATGTAGTTACTGATACTGATGGATGCCAATTGGATTCAGCAAGAATAGCTAAGGAAGGAAACCCAAAAGCACCAGACGTTAGGTAAAGCAAACCCTCGGCTTCTCACGTGGAGAGACAGAATGTAAGTCCACACCTCCCCAAAAATTCCAAATGAAAGGAAGTATTAAAAAAAGAATTGGGAAAGAGAAGGGTGAAGCAAGCTGCCGAAGTTCTTCCTTAATAAATTAAAACCGAGGTGTTACAGACTAATTTCAGTAACAGTCATCTTTCCAACCATGCCAAAAATGATTCCTGTAGTAATGATGATCTTACAAGTAGCAGAGATTCTAGAAATATTTCAACTTTTCAAAACTGAGCGAGAAAAGCATTTTGGTAAAGATGTGTAGAAACATCAAGAGAAATTTCTACACTAGTATCAACAGTCAAGTGCGTATTTCTATAGAAATGTTTTTAGCATAGGTTCCATACCACAATTCAACGATCACTCGTGCAGTGTCCTGACAATGCTCCTAATATGTTCCCCGCAACAGAGATCTATGTACCACAGGAACTTCCTAATAGAAAATGCCCTTTAATGATGAACCCTTGCTTATTAAAAATTAGTTTTGGCAGACTAACACTTAAACTATAAGAAAAAGAAAATTTGGAAATGGAATCTTGTAAGCACCCTTATCTATTGAAGTCTAAGTTAATGGCTTTCTAGATTTCTTTGAAGAGCAGACTAAATGGTATGAGGAAGCCTGGAGTTATTAACCAGCAAGCATCCTTATATACTACAGTAGCAATTGAACCTGATTTCCATTCAAACACATTACCCAAGAGGAAACCAAAAACTAATCCTTAATGTTAATGTGAAGATATAAGATTTAAATTTATTTCCAGGAATTACAAGTGCATTTTGTTCATATTAGCAAGCAGTCTTTATACAATCCATTCTTCACTGCTGCCAAAATAAAATGAGAAAAAGACAGCAGAGATATGAAAAGCTAAAAATAGAACTATTTTTCCTAAGTTATTTGTTGAATAGCATTTCAGTTGAACACAACTCAGAGGTAACAATAGATTATTTTTTTTCTCAATCATAGGCATGTGGCACTTAGACAATCATCTTTGCACAGAAAGCTTTAACAGTCATGCGAGGGCACAGTAATTATTTTAAACAAGGCAAATTTCTCACCACAGAGAGCAGTGGGGAAAGAAAAGGAGGCACTGCACTGGAACATAACACCTAGTAAACTCCACATTATACAATTTCAGTAACAAATACTTGAAAAGATCATTAAAAGGTATACAATTTTAAACATTATTTAGTGCTAGCTTTGTTTGGTTGTCCTAACTCAGCATTATCAGAAAAGTTTGATAGTACTTGACAACAGAACAGTACTTCATGTCACGAGCTCATGGAGGCTTGATTACAAATCACCATAGTGTAGGTTGCAAGAAATGAACTTGAGATGCTGACATGCTGTAGGAGCAAAAGTAAAATCAAACTTTCTCATTTAAAGATGCAGTGTTCCTCTCTGCAAGAATTCTGAATGTCAGTGATTAGATTCAAATGTAAAAACTATCAATCCTCATTTGAAGCATTTCATTGGTATGCAGGATGTAGGCTGAGTTTATTAACATCGTATTTTGGTTTCTCGCTTGCCACCACATATGGGTGCCTTCCACAGAGAAAAGCATTCACCATTAGGTCATCATGCCATTATGTTCTTTGTTAATCTTCCACCACACGGTGAGTAAATATAAGTTGGCGAGCTGCCACTCACTCTCTTTGCACAACTCTTATAAACAATATTACATGGTATGAACTTTGGAAGTACTATGCCTCCAACATGGTTAAACTTTAAATGATCTCTTTTAGAAAAGGCAGGGAGAAATAGGTACAAATTTTGTCAATACATGGAAAAAAATGTTTCTCAGATGAAGTCAATTAAGTTGGGTTCCTATGTGGCTCTTACGCTGTATAGAATACCTGTATGTACAGCACAGGACACCCAAACAAGTGCATAAGCAAGATTAACATGAACACGACTTATGCTGTAATCCGTAGCATAATGGTATAAATTCCATTGGATGCTAACCATTTCTATTTAAAAAGGAAGTGCAAAAAAAATCTGGGATGTCACTGACTTAAAGTGCCCTGAATAGTAGCTTTTCTAAAAAAAATGCCAGCGACTTCAGTAAAGTCAGAAAAATATAGTTCATGGTGTAAACGTCTTACAGGTTAATGAATTATCTTCTTGGATATTGATCCAGGAGTGAAAGGAACCACTGCATCTTTCAAACCAGAAAGCAAGCAGTTAAAATACGGCCAGCAGTAGGTGCACTTACAGTACAGTACTGCAACAGGTCAACAATGGGCATTACGCATAGGAGTGTCAATTACAATTCTTCAGGCTTAAAAGATTCATTGAAAGCATGAAAAGCCAAAACTACCAGGAACTGCCCTCCTGAATGGCTCAAAGGAGTTAGTGGATAAGCTGAGAGAGGCCACAAGACATGACCAACAATAAAGAACTGGGAAGAGGAACAGCAACGTTTGAGCATGCCCAGTCCTTTAAGTCCTTGTCCTACAAAAAAGAGCAGAGACATATTTCAGTGAAGGAGGTTTAAACATTGCCTTTTAAAACAAGTGTACTGTCCTACTTCTATGCTCTATGTACACTATGTTGACCATGAGTCAGACACAGCTGTATCAATATGTAAGAAAAGTCAGAGACAGTGGATATCAGTACATTACATTTTAAATGAAAATTTAAAATTTTCAAAAGATTAGGAAGATTAATCATAACTAATGAATCAAGTAAATTATTTGGTTGTCTAAAGGATCTGTTATTTTCACATTTCTTCTCAATTCCAAAAACTACAGTCAAGGGGAAAGTTTCCAATCTCAGGAAATAACACACTGAGAAGAACTGCTGATAAAGAACAGGGGAGTGTGCAGGGGGAGCAGAAGTGCATGGGAAGAGACTCTTGCTGTCCATTTTAAGGCAACTCCTGGGGACTGGCCCTCACTAGGACGTCAACTACTTATGTTTGCACTGTTGTGATGGGGAATAGCTAATAATTCTAACCACAAATGACTAGGACAAGTTACCAGCATATCATTATCAAGCAAAGTACCATATTTAAATTTCAGTATCATGTCGGCCAAATCAACTCCTCATAGTAGCATTTAAAGGTAACATTTTCAGCAAACCAGAAATGTCCGCTAGCACTGGATCACTGATATCTTTATCCCTAATCCCTTTATCCCTTAATCTCCAATACAGCCCAGGTAAGCGTGGTCTGGGCAAAGAGGCAAGCAGGGAGATCATAAACCACAATTTACCACAATGTTAACTACTTGCTCTCCCTTCCTTGATACTACGGCCTCCTAGCAACAGGTTTCATTTTAATCCTAAAAATTTACGTAATTTTCTTCCAGAAAGCATACATGTACTGCCAGTGCCTCTTGTACAGAATTAGCTTTAACAAACACAGGTGGGAAATAAGCACCACGTGTGCTGTTGTGTCCCAGGTCTAATTCTACTGGCAACGCCCAACTAAGAAGAGTCAGATGTGTGAACCTCAGCCTTACCTAACTTGTAATTATTAAAATAGTTTCAAATGTTAGCTAGTAAGCTTAAATAAATAAAATACAGTATTTTTAAAGATGAAAATTACTTCATCTGTGAGCTTCTATACATTTGAATATTCAAGCCACTGGCAACAGAAGTCACCCCATTTAAGTAAAAACTGTATTTTCAGAAGTTTCCTCCGCTTTTCTTTTTCTTTCTTTCCTATGAATTCATTGTTAAATAAAAAACTGGAGGTATATGCAATGCAGAAACTGAAATCCCATTTTTAGTGCAGAAAAATTTGCTTTTAACAAAGCAACAAAGCTTCCACACACTACTATCAGAGCCATGGACTTCTCGCAGTGAGGAAGTTCACTGGTTCAAAACCTAACCTTTCTGCTGGAACTGCCAACAAAAAAAATGGTGATTGTAGAATGCCGCTGTTAATGAAGAATAGAACAGAAACAACCTTAAAGACCATAAAACAGGCACTCTAGCTTAGGCTGTTGTCTTTGGTTTGTTTTTCTTTTCCAGTCACAAAACTTTGATACTTTAAACTATTAGTATCACAGAAGTTTCATAAATATTACAAAAATTATTCAGGTCAGTATTTGACCACTTTTGTTTGAAACTACTGAGACTTGTAAGCCTCATGGTGTATAAAAATCAGTTAAAGTTCATGGATTTATTTTTTTTTTTTAAGTCAGAGACAGTGGATATCAGTACGTTACATTTTAAATTAAAATTTAAAATCTTTATAAGATTAGGAAGATTAATCTTAACTAATTTATGAATATTTAGATACCTATTCTTATTTACTCATACTATTTCAGAGGTACTTAAAACTGAAGTTAAATCATACTGAAGCTTCATGTTTGTTTTTTTTTTCCCTTTAAAATAATTTAAGAGATTTTTTTTCCTCTATTACATTTAAGGAAGATTTTTTTAAAAAAGCATTTGAAGCCATATGACAGAATAGTCTGTAATACATGAAGAACACTGCCCCCTTAAAATATTTTTGAATAAAATTTGCATTTCAAAGTGTTACCATAGTTTTTATTCTGAGAATTACTATTTAAATGTAATTCTTATTCCTTAAATGTAACCTAAAAACTAGGCAAACATCTCAGGCAATTGTGTGGATTCCCTGTAGACACTTCAATGCTGTAAGCAAAACTAAACCCTTTCTTTAACAACAGGGCTGAGGTCAAATGAATAAGCATAAAGCTATCTTTTAGCAGCTAGTTACTGTGTCAATAGAAAAGTGAAGTTCTACATTTCAGTAGTGGTTAACAAAGTTCCAAAATTCTTCCCCTGCCCAAGTGGTTTCATATCGCTGTGACTTTACCTATGCACAATTTAAGATCGGTATCCTGGCTGGAATCTAGCAGTTTCCTCAAAAATCAGTTCTTTCAGTTTTTCCTTCGGCAAGTCGTCCAACTCCATATCAAACTTGAAGGGTGCTTCAGCTACAGGCTTAATAATATAAAGAAACATTATTAATTTTTTTAATATTACTGTTCTGTTGAATTTCATGTAGCCCCTGTAGAGGGGAAAAAATCTGAAGATGTGCTTCATGAAAATATCTCATACTGTCCAGTCTTCAAGGAAAAACTCGTTCTGTTAGTCCTCTATGTGCTTTATGTATCAGTTTACCAAATTTTAAATCAAATCATAGTAAGTAGCTATTCAAATCTAAACCACAAGTTAAAATATTTGTTAAAGGCTCATAACTTAATAACATTTCTTCAGGTAGATATCTAATACATGTGTATTTCTCGGAATAAACATGTCTGTCCTCTAAGAAAAAACTAGCTTATTTCCTCCTCCTCTACTTCTTCACCACAAGTAACCTGAAATCTCATCAGACTTGTGTACTAAACCACAGGAAGTTCAAACTGGGAGGTTCTAAATGCATAATCTGATGGCACACTCAGTTATTCTACTCCTTTATCTCGGACATTATGAAACAAGACCACAGTGAGCTGAGAAGTTCCATTTTTGAAGAGTATCCCTTAGCATCTATTTATTGTGTTGTGCCTCCAAAACATTGTACTAGAACTATAAATTTTTTATAAATTGATGCAATTCATTCTTCAACTCCATGAGAGCAGCAGAAACACTGTCCTTAAACTAATGAAGAAAACCTGTTGCATCATTTAATCAACATTTACATTTTAACCATGTCTTTACCTCATCACTTGGATCATAATACTGCTCCAGATATGGATGGGCTAAAGCTTGCTCCACTTCAATCCGCTTATGAGGATTAAAGGTCAACATTTTATCCAACAAATCAAGTGCTAAGAGGGAAAAAAGTGAGCAAGAGTTTAATACACGCTCCAGAGTACAAAAGAGTTATAAACACCAATATTACACAGAAAACACATGCTACCCTAAATTTTGCAGTAATTTTAATTTACATCTGGAATTCCCCAGCTGCAGTAACAGCAACAGCAGGAGCAGATTGCTTCCTGTAACTTGGGCAGAAGTATTTGTGCCTGCCTGTGTCACTGGCACTCCTTGGTTACAGTTTCCTTTGGTAGGGTCTGGTCTAATGGAGGTAAATACCCTTTCAGAGGCTCTTGGCATCAGACAGTGTCGAGGGAAGAACCCTATGGTACAATCTGGTTTTAACTACAGCAGAAATTGAATAGATCAGGCTTTTTCTTCACTTAAATAAACACTTTGGATTTTTGTGCCAAAAATCCAAACCAGGATGGAGCTTTTCTGAAATGAGTTAAGTAACCAAGAATATGTTCTTATTCTGGAAAGAAAACCTGGGTGTTTAATAATGAAGACATAATCCAGAAGTCATTAAGAGTTCTAGATCATTGCAGTGAACTATTCTAGCATAACCAGCAGCCCAGAAGGTACTCTCCAGCTAAGATGCAGATACATTCATATGCATGAGATTCCAGCAAAATCTGCTGAATACAGCTTGTAAAGAATCCATAGAGAACTTGAAGATCCAGTAAGACTGATAGTGAGGTCTGATGAAATTCTGGACAAATGTTACAAGTCAGAGCTACTGGAATTGTTCAGCTACTTTGACTGTAACACATTTTCCTTTTCCAAGAAAAGGAGACAGAATGATTATTGTAGCAATAAGCCCAAAGATATCGGCAGTATCCTAAATCCATTCCATTTCTTCTCCCGACCACATCGTTTATGACACATAACAGAGGCTTCTTAATGCAGCGAAGTAGCTGTAGCTTTGCATCAGGATAAGATGCATACCAAGCACTGCAGAAGAGGCAGACCTTGCATTCACTGGCAGCTTGAATGCTTGAAAAAGCACTGAAAAAGCTGCAAACTTAGACAGCAATTAACATTAACTAGTTTGATGTGGTTTTCTCAACACTGGAAACTCACATGCTCGCTCCATGCTAAAGCATGTTGTGCACAATGCTTTTTTACTGAAATGATTGACAGCTTTTTGAAAAATGCTCTGTCAAAGCTACTCTGAAAATCTAGCTGAAAAAGTGTTGCAGAAGGCATGTTCCCTTAGCAGCTAAGCGTATCAGCACTGCTACAATTTGAGCTGTCAGAAGCCTACAGTAAAAATTCTCACATTGATGAGCGCTATTATAAAAGCAGAATAAATCACTGCTGTTTCTCTCAATGATAAGGATAATCAGTTCTACACAGCTCCATCTGCAGAAATCAGTTTTTACATGGTTGTTCAGTACCTGATCATATTCACTAAGAGTAAATTATCATACCTTTTAAAAAATTAAGTGAATTATGAATTGTATCTGAGCAGGTAAGAGAGCATTGTACTGACTGAGAATACAACCACCCTTAAACTGCATGAAGAAGAATTTAAAAGGCAAGTTAATAGCTATCTAGCAAAACAATTATCATATTTACCCTTTACTAAAGCCTTGTTAAGAAAGGCAACAATTACATTCCTTGCTTTTATAACTTTTGCTCCACTTATGGTAACTAAATTTTTAACCCACTAAATTTGAACCTTTCATACTACCCAAGGATCCACACTTCACTATTATCCTGTTTGATCTAGATCCGACATGCAGTCTGCACAAACAATACCGAGTTCAGCAATAAGCAACTATCTCGTATCTGATTTTAGAAACAAAGTTCAAGATTTGTTTGATGCCTGTCAAAATCCAATGCCTATGTTCAGTACTTGAGTAATGTATCATGCTTTCAAAGACAGTAACAAGAGTTAAGATTTGGTTTACATGTAAGTTAAAGATCAAACCCCACAACACATAATCTCAGAGTTACTAAAAATTGCTTTAAAAAAGTAAGCTAGTATGAGGTCATGCTGGTTTATGATTTTACATTAGACTTATCCTGACATTTTAAGGAACTTCAATGTTCTATTTCCAATACAGATAAATTCTTAGGGCGATTTAAAAAATCCCATCCTGCCACTGCTTTCTCATACAAAGTAATAGAGCATAAAATACCTTTGGGGTCAGCATTTGGAAACAGCCTGTTCCATGGTACCTTATTTTTGTGTGGTAAGGAAAGCAAGTAGTTTCTGGCCTTTAAATTTATTATACAATTCAAATCTTCTTGGGAAGGGGATCCAAGTATACCTAAAAAATTTAAATACAAAGAGTAGTGCATTCTATGAAAAGCACATTAAAAAGGTTATATCACATTTGCTAAAACTCAGTACTAAAACTGCTGGGAAGAAGATTTCAGACTGAATGTTTTAAGAGTATAGAATACCTTAGAACTTATTTAGAAACGTTTATTAAAAAGGTTTACTTTTTTTTCTGTAAATACATTTGAGTTTTCTAATAATTAATTGGATTTTTTAAACAGATTACTAAATGGTGTATCTACAATTTTCTTTTTTTAAATTGATCTGGACCTAATAATATATCTGAGCTTTTTTTTTTTTTTTTTAATTTTAAAAACATCTCTGCTGATGTAGTAAACAAATTGGTAAGTATACTCTAGTTGCCCCCCAAATCAATGATTTGTTGTAGAAATCACTACAGAAATGACTACAGGGAACAGAAGATACACCTACAGATCCATACATTATACACTGACCAACAAGAGAAAGAAATGAGCGACCAAAGACCAGTCTAGCTGGTAGAAAAGATGGAGAAAGACAGATGCAGAAATTCTACTTCTACATAAAACTTACCAAGGATATGGTTAAGTTGGTCAAGGTAGTGTTTTCCTGGAAAGATAGGTCTGTTGGAGAGCATCTCTGCCAGAATACAGCCTACTGACCAGATGTCAATAGACTTGGTATAACCCTGCAAGTAAAGCAAAAACACATTTCTGTCAAAGAAATTTTTGCATAATTGCAGCAACATGTTACTTTAGTAAATTGTCAAAGTGCACGCAAATAAATCTTTGGGGGTTTTTTAGATGAGTCATGCTTGTTCATGCTGTTTGGTTTTTCTCTACAGAATGAAATAATTAAGAATTGTATATCAAAAACACTACTTTGAAGAGGTAGCAAGAACTGCAGTATGCGAGAGATGCTTTTCCAAAAGGATTCTCTAAGTTTAACTAAACATATTACCAACTGCAAATTTTTGAGATTCCCTAATTTTATAGCAAATTTAAACTAACAAATCCTGAAAACAAGCTATTCTTAACTCCATAGCTCCTAACAGTATACATGAAACATGTGTGAAAAAAGGCCATCCTTCTTCCTAATAGGGTGTGAATACCACACAAGTAAGAAGCCTTCAGCAAAGGCGCAAAAGGGCAAAATAGACTGCTGGTTAGCTGATTTGTGAAACACAACAGGCATGTTAGTAGTAAAGATGATGTGAGGCGGCCAACAACAGTAAATGGGATACAACAAGAATGGAACAAATGGCCATAACCGTGTGTCATCCATAAGAAAAGGCTTTTATTCAGGAGCAGCTGATTACACTAGTGCCTGGGTAACACAAAGTTTTCCTCAAGAACCCCCTGGCCCCATAAGCTCCCCTGCCTTACTGTCCCCCAGCCTGCTGGCCACTACTCCTCCTCCCATTCGCAGGGAGCTTTCCAACAAAAGCCAGTAAAAGGCACCTCTGCACCAGCTTCTCAGGGCATGATCACCCAACCATTTGTTTCCAAGGCCCTGCAGTTCTAAAAGGAATCAGTCTATGGGCCAGGAAAATTTTGAGTCGATCACCTCTTAAGAAACACAAAATACTTTTTTATAAAAGCTACTGATAAGTGTATGTAAATAAGTTGCCCTATGTTTATGGTCTCAAAGTGAGTTTAGAACACAAGATGGGGAAAAAAAACCCTTGACTGGTCAGACAGTTACTTTCTAAAAGTGCATTAGACACATATTGCCACAACAAATCAAACCCAACCACCAATGAAGCAGTAATCCTACAGAAATAACAAAGGCTTCAAGGAATATAAAATACAGATATGGCTGTCACATAGTTATTTTGCTAACAAGTGTATGGCTGTAGAAACTAATACAAAGGTTATGAAGGATACTCATTACTCACACCACACAGGGACTGCATACACCTTAAAACAGCCATAGAAGAACATAAGAATAATTCCAAGTATAAAAAAAACCAGAGATGATTTCCTTAAGACTAGGGGAATGCAATTAAGATTGACACACAATGAAGATCACATGCCTTCAGAATCAGATTCACCCTCATTATACATTCTAAACCTAGATTAAGATGTCAAGATAACATTAAGGCAACATTTGCAAGCCTGGATGAAGGCAGCAGTAAAACGCTCCCATTACTAGCACTTCTGTGCTGCTCTGTGCAAGAGCATTTGATGGAAAGAAGTCTCATGACTGGCGAGAAACTGGACACATAGGAACTCATGCATGTGATTGCTCAGTTGTTGGTATCCAGTAATTGTATCTGGAATCACAAATTTATTGCAAGCCAGTAGCTGTACTGTAAATCCATTATTACATTTCCTCAAGACTACGCATGTGTTCTGATCCTAAAAACACAGAAGGGGGGAGGCAAAATAGGTACTCACAAGTGAATAACCAGCAACAGAAGCACCATAGCAATGCACTATGGTTCTCACCTTAGAATTCAGCATGATTTCAGGAGCCCTGTACCAACGTGTGGCCACGTATTCTGTCAAGAATCCTGTGTGATCATGATCTGGATCTGCAACACGAGCCAGTCCAAAGTCACAAATCTGGTTTTAAAGAAATACAAAAAAAGCGCATTATTAAACATACAAATACTATGACATTACTAATTCAGCTTTCCCCAACCCATGATGTAACACCTATCAATATGGTGATGCTAAGATATCTTTTTAGAAAAAAATTACTGCACAAAGGTTAAGAAAAGTGGTTTGGATTAAGTACAAAGAGTATCCGATTAGGCCATGCAGGGGTCAGGAAAAATAAACAGTTTTGGGGAAAAAAAAAGATGTTCCTGGTGTAAAATTTCTGTTCCGCTATACTTAACACCTTCCCTGCCAGATAGGTGGCAGGATATACTGCTCCAAGAAATTTACCAGAAGAAGAAGAGAGATTAAGATTTCCAGAAAACAAAATTACCAACAGATTTGTAGCCAAGTTCAATAACCCTTTTTACAAGAGCTACCATCATAACTGCATCTTTGCACAAGAAACATCCTATCCAATCATGAGATAATGGTAGACTGGAGAGATTACAGGTTGCTGAAGGAAGCATGAGCTTAAAAAAAGCATAAGAAAATATTTCTCAACCCTGTATCAAGAAAACAGTTTTATCTAACCATGAAAAGAAAACTAAACTTTGATCTAGACTAGTCAGTTCAGCAAAGAGGAAAAATTGTTTTTATCTGTACTCTAGTAAGGTGGCTCCATGGCTTTCAGAACTACCTAGTGTCCTCTCTCCAGAGAGAAATTAAGAAAGTTGAAAATGTAAAGACAGTGTTCTAGAGTACAGCAGCTGTTCCTTTCTTACCTTCCAAAAAGGTAAATGGCAGGCTTGTTGAGTGACATTCATATGCTTTTGCTACCACCAAACAAATTCCAGTTTATGATAATGATCAATTTCCACACAATGTATTTGCATGAAAGAATATGTACTCTCAGAAAAGCAAGGCACAGTGGCAAACGGTTAGGGAGTTTCTCCGATACACACGTTTTATAATAGTTTACCCTTTGATAGTTGTGTACACTGATTATATTAAAAATGTGAAGTAATAATATGCTGTAGTCAATAAAGACTGTAATGGATAATCCTACCAAAAATGCAGAAACCTCATTGTACCCTGTCAACCTACCCCTTTATTTTCCTGGAAGGACAGCCTGTGAAACAACTGATAGATCAGGTTAAGGAAGAAGTAATTCAGCTGACTAAAAGCTACATCTGAAAGACAAGATTCAGCAGCTGACTGTTAAGCAGAGGGACTGAAGAAAAGTCAGTGATGAAATTCCTAAGCCAGGCAGCATGGGATGACTCCTCTTACTTTAGCTACATATTAAAGAACCTCAGAACCCTGAATCCTTAGAAAACAAAACCAAAAGGAACCCTTTTAAGCATGTCAAGGTTTTTATTCCCAGGCTACAGAAACAGAACAGCTGCCTCGTATGCAATTAGCAGCTTACATAAAGAGAATCACTACAAATAAACCAGAAAAGTCTCCTGTAAAGACAGAAGCAAAGAAACTGTAGAGGACGGCTTCATGGACTTCAGAAAATAATTATGCAGGCAAAGAAAACTGTTGTAATCTCTTCCTCCTAACCTCAGGAAAAAAACAGATACGACTATAGGCAAGGACTTGTCCAGAATTATAGTACTACACATAAGCAAAGTGCTACAATTTGTTATTATTAAGACAAAAGAAGAAAGACACTCTCCAGTCCACAGAGCTGAAAAAGAACTGAATTACAGAAGGTGTCTGTGAATCTCTCAACAACTCAAGTAGAAAAATGCACATGGGATGGAAAGGAAGATTAATGACAAAGAGAGCTCATTAAAATGACAAAAAGCCCCTGCTGACTAGAGTAGAAACAGGTTAAGCAGAAAGAAGAAACATCATTAGTGAGAAAGGCATCAAGGTTGAAGCTGCAAGAAAGAGGTTTTTAGCTGTTAGCAGTGTTTTCACCAGCTGCAGAGCTGACCAGGAGCATTAGCAGGGCTGAATAAGAGAGACAGCGGAGAGGCCGGCATTCTGCCTCAAGTCCCGGGTGCAAGGGACAAAGCACAGAGACTGACTGTACTCTGGTGAGGGCAGACGGTTCTTGCCCTGTGGCAACAGGAACACATTTAACCAAGCAGCTATCCTACTGGGGGGGGGAAGAACTGCGAGTCCACTATGCCTGTTCAAATAATAATCGGTAGAAGTCAAAGCACCAGAGGCAGGTAGGCTTCTCCATCAGAATTAAAACAAAAGAGAAAGAATCCATGAGAGCAACATAATGACAGAAAAAGTTTTCTTGGCATTTTGACTAAGCAGAGAATAAAAAACCGTATAATGAAAACCCCAGGTATGTCAGCCAGTGTGCTTCATGCCTTGGAGAGACAGAACAGATGCTACTAAGAAAGAAGGAATAACCTCCCCGCTAAATAAATAAATAAACAGAATGCTAGCATCGTATTTATATATCTAGCTTCCAATTCTTGAAAACAATGTTCTTGTAATCTGTACCAGGTATGCTTTTCTTTTTTTTTTTTTTTTTTTTTTTTTTTTTTTTTTTTTTTTTTTTTTTTAACAGAGATGGCTTAGAATTGGATGAAACTATCAAGCAGCTGGGAATATTTATGAGGATCATGTACATATGACCATTTATTAAGCAAGTTAAATGACACCCAACAGTACTAATAATATAGTGAAATATCTGAAGCTGTGTCATGGAGGAGTCTCTGTGTGTGTATGTAGCTATTTGTATAAAAGGAAAAGAAGAGGCTTCCATTAAGTTCAGTTGATAATGATAAGACTGTAGTTCAAACAGTTGTGTGTCTAGAGTAACTGGTAAAATCCTGAAACAAACAACAATGTGCAGTTTTCCTCAAAAAAAAACCCTCTCTCACCATCTTCCTTTCAAGGCTATCAAAGTATCTAACAATTCTTGGATGTTTAATACTTGGAAGTATTCACTATGTAGACAGAAAAGCAGAACTTATAAATAATATTGCTGTAGAGTGTTAATGTTTTAACCAAGTCAAAGGAGTAGATTCTCAGCTAAACCGGTACACTGAAGGTGCAATATACTAGTTGAGAATCTGTTTAAAATAACTTTGACCTCATTTTCTGGCCTAATAAAAATATATGGTCATGAGAGCTTTTATGAAACATTTGATTTTACAGAACTGCAAAACAGGTCAAATTGCTGGATGCAGATAATCATGAAAGCATGTGAAAATCTTTCTAAAAATGTCAGATACTATTTTAGAGTATATTCCAGCCTGTAGCATGTCAGTATACATTAGTCTCATTCATAGGAAAGACGCCAGGCTGCAAAAGAGAAGGCCAGTATCTTTATTACCCAGAACTCTCACTGGACATTCCAAGATAGTAGTTTTCATGGACTCTCAAATCTAATCTTTCACTGAAAACATGTAACGAGACAGTAGTTAAGTCAAATGATGTACTTTCACAAACTTTCATTCACTAAGTTTAAGGTCTCATTTAAGTCTGTAGCATAGCCTAAGGAGATAGAAACAGCTTTAGGTTCTGCACTTCTGCCCTGAGCCTTTCAGCTGCTTAGGACAAGCTATAGGGTTCACTGACAAATTGTGTAAGAGACTCATACATTTATTTCCTGGAGATGGAATCTATGATCCAGAGGTCAAGATCATGTTTAAGGAAGAACGAGGAGCTCTTGTTACAACCTGTGGGTCTCTTGAGCTCCAGAGATCAACAGCTCACTCTTAAAATGCCATTAAAGAAGCCAACAGCATTACCACTGAAGATGAACAAATTTTCTATTTTCTTTCTTCCAAAAGTGTGATTTTAAGTTGTTCATTTTCACGGTATGCTGTGTTTTGAGTTTATGTGCAATAATCAACTGTAAGCACACATATGTACATAGCTGACACACAGACGTGAAGAACAGCCCTAAAAGAAACAAGTTAGTACAAGTTCAGCATTCATCAGGCAAGGCCTAACACGTAGTAGTTTTCTCTCCAAATCTGTTGTTTAAACTTTAGATGTGGTATTAAAACAACACCAGAGTTCCCTTTAGGTTATGAAAAAACATATGCTCTGTCATACAGGCTACCATATTCTGCACTAGGAAACATATTGCAGTGGTATCCTGTTTTTAAAATCTTAAAGAAATCGTAAGAATACTCACCAAAGTCATATTGTATTATTTTGCCATACAATGAGCTTACCTTCTTTTTCATGACCATCTTGTGTTAAATAATTGTCTTTTATTATTTTATTGCTTTTAATTGCATATAACAGGGCTACACTCAAACTTGTTCTTGCCTGCTTCTATCACACAGTCATCGTAGATTTTACTCCATTTCTTTTATGAAGGGGTTAATGCCTTGAAGGGATCTGATGTAATACCAGCTGCTGAAATCCCACAGCGAGAGTCAGAGGTGACCAGTCCAGCAATACTGTGCATTAGGAAAAGCTGACAAATAGCAGTGGAAATGTAAAGCAAACTGATCATGTAACCAGTATTTAGAATGGACCAGCATATGAACAGCAAGGACTTTTCTTGGAATTGTGACAAACTTAAATGGCCAGCAACTGGTTTACATTTTGAAGAGGGTATTTTTGGTTTACTTGTTTTTGTTTTGTTTTTTTTCATGAAAAATCTACAGCTACTATAAAAATCAAAGTGTAATTAGGTGCAACACAGTATGCAACACACACAGTTGTACCACATCAGATCAAAGTAACATACTCCGTAATCTCACTCCATCAATGGCCAACAGCACATACATAATGTAAAGTGTAAAAGGGAACATACTCTGATGCTTCTCTACTAGTCTCTCATCCTTCATGGATTTACCACCATGGGAGTCTAAAGCTGAGGTAGCATTCAGTAGCTTTTTCTTCTATTAACTTGCTTGGTGGGTTTTTTTAAGTCATGTTATCTGCAATATCGACAGCGCGCTGTGGTACCAAATCCCACAGCTTAACAATACTGCAAGTTAACTGCTATGTCCTTTCACTCTGAGCATGCCACCTGCTCCTTTCATTCCCTCCCCAGCCTTTTTAATAGGTAAAAGACAGTGAACAACTGTTCCCCATTCACCCTCCCTACGCCACTAACAATTTTATCAAATTCTATTGTATTCTTTCTTTTCCTCAAGCAGTATCTACCAGCAGAGGAGATTTAGGCTAGATAGTTCTTCCTGATATGGAGAGAAGTACCTTGAAGTCCACGTCTCCTCATTTTAAAAGAATATCATAGGGATAAGTATGATAACTATTATCACACAGAACTGAAGACTCAAGAACAACAGAAAGTTACAGAATGGCATGTTTTCTGTTTTATTCTCTATTTCTGTTCTAACTCTTCACACCTGGTTTGCTTTACTGAATGCCACTAAGCATTGAGCTGACATTTTCCAAGAATCATAACAGCTCTACAATCATCCTTCTGTAGTATTTAGTACAGAGCCCATCACTAGAAATGTAAATTAGGAACATTCTCTCTCCAAGTAATTGCTGTGCACTTAATCAGCACTGAGTTTCATGTGCCATTTTAGTTGCCCACTAATATGAAGTCCTTTTCCAACAGTGAACAATTATCAGTTTAACAGAGAAATCAAGACTTGAAATATATAGTTTTGAGTTTACTTTGTAGATAAACACAATTTTGATTCAGATAAGTATTTTCACCTAGCGAGGCTGTTTCTAAATCAGCCTCCAGATGGAAACAGTGATGCACTCATTAAAATAGCATAACAGTGAGTTCTTAGTCACTCAAATCTTAATAATTATTTTATCAAAGCCAATAATGTTTTGGCAATCTTTCCAGGATAAAAATCATATTAATCCCCAGTAACAAAACCACATTCATGGTTATAGCAGGTAATATATGAAGACCATGTGAGCAAAATCTGTAAGAAATTTCAACTAACCTTGAGATCACAAGTGGTGTTAAGCAGCAAATTTGAAGGTTTGAGGTCACGATGAAGCACATTGGCTGAATGGATATATTTTAACCCTCTCAGAATCTGGTAAAGGAAATAACAAATGTGGTCGTTGCTGAGGTGTTGAGTCTTTAAGAGCTTGTAAAGATCCGTCTCCATAAGATCTTGCACAATGTATCTGTAAGGAATCAGATGTAAGGCAGCAAAACAGACCTGGTGTGTCATGTTAGATGGCAACATACAGTACCCAGTGAAACTTCCATAACAATTTTTTGCTCTTATTTGTTTGTTTCATGACATGAAATGATGCAGTTGTTTATTGCTTTACAAGTTTTGAATCAAATCAATCCTGTTACATGATGCAGACCTTTACAGAATTAAGAGGTACCAGCATGCGGTCCTCTCAAATTAATCATCATAAACCTTTATTTGTTTATATTAGAGTCTGATTTTTATTGGAATCTTAATATGATCAGATTCCTACCCTGCTTGCCAAGGAATAAAGATTGGTTTATAGTTTAATGAGTAATAAGCTTCTGAGATACTTGCTTCCAGTTGCATAAAAGCATGAAGGTAGATCTGATCATTTCTCAGTCTTCTCTGCCACCTCTCCACTTCAAAAATTCAGTAATTGTTCTCCTTTACTATATATTTATCATGCTACATTAAACACAACAGTCCTTTGCTTACCAAAATTAAATCCTAATATTTTCAGTCAGATGGTTTTTATTTTTTTTCTAAGATTGGAATGAACATAAAGAAAAGGGATTTTTTTTCTGCTTTGGCAGGAATGAGTTAAGTAAAATTTTCTTCTCCATTAATTCAGTTTGGCTGCAAAACCCTAGAGGTGTACATGATCACTTTTCACTGAAATAGGATTTCATTAAAACACACTACTATCACCATTCCAGTTGGGCGTTCCCATCCTCTCCTCTGGGTATTCAGAGTGGATCACACAATCAGGACATCTTTTTCAAGGCAGCATGCACTTAAACTAGTCAAAATGGCCACAGAAATGAAACCTCAGAATCCCATGTAAAAGACAGATTGAACTCAAATAATACATTGATAATTTGTGAACTGAAAACATTTGACCAAGATTCAATTCCGTTTCTGCCTGCATGTGCTTATGCCTTTCATTGGGCAGACATCTGCCAAGACCTGCAAACCCAGTAAGAACCAATGCACACAGACTTGGGGAAATTAAGCTGGTTGATTCTAAACTAGGCCTTGTATCTCAGGTAGAGTCTGCCAGCTAAGACTGCTTCAGAAGTTAGATATCCACAGGAAGTCGTTATCTACACAAAGCCAAGTTTCCAGTGAAAGAACAATTAGTAAAACAAAGAGGCCAGATTTGCATATATTAATCAAGCATGTTTACCTGCCCATGGGCAGTTTCATACTTTTCACATAGGCAGGAAGCACTGCAAATCTGGGGGTTGTGCTTTGCTTTATTTTCATTTCCTACCTCCCTCAAGATGTATCCAAACTATTCTTCAAGAAAACTTTAGACAATTATAGCACAGTCCAGACATTTTATTTTCTCCTCAAGGCAATCAGTTCTAACACCTCTATTACGAGCAAATACAGTTTTAGGATTCACTAGACTAAATCATCTCTACAATGTTGAGTTCTTTGCCTTGGAAGACAGAAATTAGCATCTTTTTTTCTTTTCCTGAAAAAGAACAAACAAAAACTAATGTTCACCTAAATATCAAATCTAACTATGTATCTATAAGCTGATCAAACAATATGAACTTCCCTTTCAATTTACAATAATAGAAGCAAACTTTTATTAAAATTTAGTAAGAGGATAAAAAGGAAGAAATAATCAAACCAGAGAAGGTGACAACCATTACTCACTACACAGAGTGGCAACACTTTGAAAGGATACACATCTTTCATTTGTTCAATAGTTGGAGCTCTGATAATATCATTTATTCCAATAATATTCTCATGCCTGAAGCGCAGTAGGATCTTAATCTCTCTCAGAGTTCTCTGGCAGTATGTCTGATGCTCAAAAGGACTGATTTTCTTTATAGCAACTCGAACTTTGTTGACATTATCATAGGCAGAACTAGAAGAGAATCGATAACATTAGTTATAAGTAATATTAAATTCATTCAATTCAGAAAGCAAGAATGCAAATTCAACTAAATACAGGGGTGGTGCATTTGTTTTACATGTATTTTTATGAAAAGAAGAGAGGTGACAGCAGCACATATCTTTTAGTTTGATGAACGGACAAAATACTGTTGTTCTATCACCAGCCTATTTGGGTCAAGTCATTAGCTTTCCCAACTGATAGGGAGTCTGCTGATTCTTGGGTGCCTGAACAAAGAAAGAAGTATTCATCTTCTTTATCAGCCTGTGGAACAAACAAGTTTGAGTCTTTTTCTATATGCTGTAATCAAGAAGTTTGAGAGAAAAATTTCATCTTGAGTTAAGCCATTCACTTTGGGGTGCAGAAAAGCCTTCAGAAATCATCTTTCAAGCAGCATAATTCCATATCCTATGTCTAACTCCTGCAAGTAATACCAATTGTCACAACCTTTCACTCCTCCATCCAGCTACATTGTTGGCACCTCCAAGAAGAACAGACATGGAAGAAGAAAAGAAATGGAGGATTTGTGAAAAAACCTTTCCAAGTTCAATTCCAACAATAACAGTTTGAGAGAAGAATGTATCCAACTACACACATGAAGTAAAAGCAAGCAGCTGTACAATATGAGATAATATGGTGATTGGGACCCATATTAACACACACACACACACACACACACTGGCTGCTGCATTTACAGCACTTATTTCAGAAGCTCAGAACAGCATTCCCAGCTATACCAATAAAGCAGGCTCGGTATTTCTGTTCAAAATGCCTACGCATTTATGAAGACTATCACAGCCCAAGTCTAATAAAAAGGCTCAGTAAGACATACATAAATTTTGAAAATTTGGACTCAGATTATTATTTAGTAAAAATGTTACAAATCCTTACAAATTTTTGGATGTTTTCTATAGTCTTGCTTATATGCATGACAAAGCATCTCATTATAATAATTTCTCTTTGTATTAAAAGTATATGGTAATTCAATTACTTCAAATTTAAATGTATATATATGATTCTTGTTCCTTTCAAATTTCTTTTTGCTCACTACTGCATTGTTTGAAAATTAAAAAATAATCAAGCCTACATTTAAACATTTCTGTTAGCCTCAACTATTTCATATAAAAATGTAAACATACTAGCCAAACAAGCTTTACATTTCACCCATTTTCTATAATTGAGACCCAGAACAGTCTCTGAAACTCTTTATTGGCCTTACTTTGCTGAGATGTCCAGGTATTTGGTGATCAGGTAAAACAGAATGAAATAAGAAAATCCAATTAGAAAAGGAGACCTAGAAGGAATTCAAATGCCTGACGATGTCAAGGTGGTTCTACCACTAAGCAGATTTATGGTGCAACAAGGTGGTTTTGAGACAGTACTGTTACCACTGTATGCAAGAATGTTTAACATTTCTCACTTTCATTATTAAAAATGACATAGAATTTGTGCCACCAGTAAGATCTTCATACAGCTCATGCCTATGTAGTGACATCCTTTCTGCATGGTTTTTCCACAGAATCACTTTGACCTGTCTGCATCTGTAACTCCAGTCTGTAACCACAGACAGACTCCACAGTTTATTTGCCTCTGGAAACACTGAACTCAAATGCTCCACAGGGTGCTTTGAAATTCCACACGCTAAGCAAGTATTCATTACAACTGTTGCTATTACATATGTATAGATAACACATTAGCAGTTCATAAGTCCCAAAATAGATAATAACAAAGTGCCATAAGTGGAACTTGGCACAGCCTTCAAGAGCACTTTGTCTATAGTCATTTTCTTAGTTAATCACCTGCAGTGTTTACAATATACCAGCAGCAAGGTAAGTCACAAGCAGAAAACAAAACTAGTAATAATTCTGAAGCATGAACAACCTGTATTTGGGAAAGAAAATAAAGAATCCTATGGACAATTTTATCATTATAAACAAACCTCCTACCTCCTTCCTTGTATTGACAAGCATATTTTTTTTCCCCACAATGCAGAATCTTGCTTCCTTTCAAAGTACTGGACAGCAGCAGCTATGCAGAGCAGAAAGGCAAAATGCCAATATTTACCAATTGATGCTGCTGAAATAAAAGCTCCTAATCTCTTACAATATTTGATAAATCTTTAAGTTATTGCTTCTGAAGCACAGGTTGGTTATTGATGAAAAATATATATCTTTCCTTGTACAGATTCAATGAACTTGAACCCTTCAATTAAATATACCAAAATTTTCTCACTTGTAGAGGTTTCACTTAGAGTTCTTGAAGCATTCTTAGAAAAAGGTTTATGTTGTTATTTTTTAAAAAATGGGTAATTTTGCTTTGAGATGGTTCAACTATAAAACACATGATTCAGTGTGGAAAAAAGCTGACTATCTGCAGGAAAGATGCAATCAATTTCCTCTCCAGTGTACATTCTGCATACACTCATTTCTCTGTTCGTATCAGAACATCTCACCACACTCATGTAGCTAAGTGTTACCACTGCAAAGCCTCAGCTAAGGAGAGCAAAACCGAAATACTACCTAGCTGAAACATTAAGGACAATGGATTTATCTCTTGTCTCCACGCTTTCTCAAATATGAATTTTTCTGTAACTTGATTAAACATATGCAAGAGTGAATAGAGTTAAATCCAGTTAGCAGCCAGTCACAAGTGGTGTCCCCCAGGGCTCAGTTTTTGGGCCACTCCTGTTTAACATCTTTATTGATGATCTAGACAAGGGGATCGAGTGCCCCCTCAGTCAGTTTGCAGATGACACCCAGTTGGGTGGGAGTGTTGATCTGCTCGAGGGTGTGGAGGCTCTGCAGAGAGACCTGGACAGGCTGGAGCCATGGGCTGAGCCCAACTGGGGGTTTCACTAAGACCAAATGCCGGAGGCTGCTCTTGGGCCACAACAACCCCCAGCAGCGCTACAGGCTTGGGGAGGAGTGGCTGGAGAGCTGCCAGTCAGAGAGGGACCTGGGGGGGGTGATTGACAGCCGGCTGAACAGGAGCCAGCAGTGTGCCCAGGGGGCTAAGGCAGCCAGTGGCATCCTGGGTTGTGTCAGCAATAGCGTGGCCAGCAGGGACAGGGAAGGGATCTTACCCCTGTGCTTGGCACTGATGAGGCCACACCTCGATTCCTGTGTTCAGTTTTGGGCCCCTCACTACAAAAAGGCCATTGAATGACTCGAGCGTGTCCAGAGAAGGGCAACGGAGCTGGTGCAGGGTCTGGAGCACAGGTCGTACGGGGAGCGGCTGAGGGAACTGGGGGGGTTTAGTCTGGAGAAGAGGAGCCTGAGGGGAGACCTCATCGCCCTCTACAGCCCCGACAGGAGGGCAGAGAGGGGGGATGAGTCTCTGTAACCAAGTAACAAGCAACAGGACAAGAGGGAATGGCCTCAAATTGCACCAGGGAAGGTTTAGACTAGATATTAGGAAGCATTTCTTTACAGAACGGGTTGTTGGGCGTTGGAATGGGCTGCCCAGGGAGGTGATGGAGTGTCCATTCCTGGAGGGGTTTAAGAGGAGTCAACATAGTGCTGAGGGATCTGGTGTAGTTGAAAACGATCAGTGATAGGTTAATGGCTGGACTGGATGATATTCAAGGTCTGTTCCAACCTAGACGATTCTGTGATTATCTCAAATCCTGTGAGCAAGAAGCTAATGATACAAGTAGTTAGGTACACTTGCCTATGTATAATATTTTAAATATCATGCATAATACAGGTGCACAGAGAATCTGTATTATAAAGGTAACACCATTTCACAGAGTTATAGCCCTCAAGGCAAACACAGCTTTAAGTAAACTCTGTGACCCTTTAAAATACAGTGCTAGTTTCAATTTGGCTTGCACTACAGAAAACTGTAAAAGGTACATATGAGACTGATGAGTAGAAATGAAGAGTCATGTGCTCTCTCATGCTCATGTGCTACAATCAGACACCTATTTGGCCTAGGAAACCATATAGCAGTATCTATTTCACTACCTAGGAAACACCATAAACTAACAAAATTGGGTCCTTTGTAGGTCAGACTGAACCATTTCCCAAAGCCTTCCCTGTTCCTCACTATCTCCATCCAACCACCACCTACCATCAACACCAGATTTACCCACTACTCTCCAGAACTCTGCTGAAGAAATACACTGCTCATACACAGTGTCCATTTGTAGTGTTTGCAAATAAAACAACTATTAAAAGTGCAAATCCAAACTCTCAATTCATTATTTCACTGCAGTTAATGTAACAGCTTATCACTTAACATAGGATTCATCTTGCTTAGCCTTAGCTAGAATTAGATACCTAATTTTACAACTAATAATCACCTGTGCTCCCCCTACAGTCCAGAAAGGAATAGTTCCACATATACATCCCATCCACCACCCAGCGCATCCTAAATTTAGATTATTTGCATTCTGGAAGTGCCATCCCAGCGTGCACCGTCTAACCTAGTTGTCTAGACTGTCAGCTTCCACTAAATCTCACAACAACTGCTTACATTTTCAGTGAAGCAGTTAACTGGGACGCCTTCTCAAAGCAAGAACCTTCTATTATCTAGACTTTTTTCCCAGAGAAGATAAAAATCTGTAAAGGGGGAATAACAGTTCATAAACTAACAACTTTTAGAGTGCTAATTTACAGGTTTTAGTTTCTAATCATTAATCACATGTACCAATCAGTAACCACTACAGATAGAATCCTGCCTTTAACAGTGTCTGTTATTCACATTAAAATGAATCTAGCTACTGACACTAATATTCAGAAGGAAGGATTCACTTCCACCCCAACGATGTGCAGCTTCACAAGCTGATGCAAGTGTTCAACTGTGTTATTTATCAGTAAAGTGCTAAATTTAAATACAGATTTTGCAACTGCCCAACTCTAGTATAAACAACGTTATTCCTATTTCAACATGTGGTTACTATCCTGTGACAACCTGCAATAGCACCATTATTTAGATACTTTCAAGACACCACATGAAAATCAATACGAGCCCTAGCAGTAGTT